GTCCTTCCAATTGTACGAACCACAACGCGGGCTCATTAGGCCAAAATGGCGGGACTTTAACGCCAACACGACAAACCTCGCTCGCATTTTCCATCTTGTCACTATTTGAAGTCATCACTAAGTCTTTCTTGTTAATACAACGATTTATTATATTTAATTTTATAACTTGTACACTGAATCACGTCGGGGTCACCACTGTAGTTTGTTATTTGTACTCTCGGGAATATTATGCTCCGAACACATAAAAGTCAAACACACCAATTCAACAATCATATAATAATATAATATTATGTGTACAATGTTCTAATAAAAAGTATAAAGAGTAAACAAGTCACTAGGCACTACATGACACCAATTCAAACTAAAATTATAATACGTTTTTACAAATCCACTTAAATCGACGCGCGCGAATCTCGCCGTGTGACGTCACGGGACACCTGCGCGTTCGGGAACTCCGATCGCATCCGATGACGCCCGAGTGCGATCGAGTGTTGCACGCTACAAATGTTTGCCGGCCCTTCACATACGCGCAAACATTCGTACAATGTACGAATATTTGCGCGCATGTCAGTGGCCGGCATTGGACGAGTGAGGACTTTTTGGCGAGATTGCGAAGAGTGAAGTTGTGTGATGTGTTTTTTGTTAATTTCGTTTCTTCAGGTTTAAATGTGTAATAACAGTGGTTTATTAACTGTTTAGTATCTGTGAAAATGCACAAATGTGAGAAAATGAAACAAAGCCGTTGAACGTAACTTCACGGGATCCTCCAAAAAGTCCACTGAAAAAGTTTCAGTAAAGACCACCATTTATTGAAATTATATTTCATCCCATATCATCTCATCTCATTTAAGTTCATTTCATGTCATGTTTCATATTAATCAACTTCATTTCATTTCATAAAATCATTTTTCATATAAAAAAGTTTTCATTAAAATTTAAATAAGACTTGACCTAAAGGTCTTAGTTACCAGATCGTAAAACCACATAAAAAAAGATCTTGAACAAATTGACACATTTCTATTTACATATTACTATTTAATACCTATTACATCTACATATGGTCTCAGACTTGTAAAATTAAAATAATTATATAGTTAAAGATGAAAATCACAAGGAAAATATTAAACTGGTATGCTAGATTAAGTCCTAAACACGGAGTATCATCACCTCCATATAATCATGTCGTTCAAGTTGGTGATCCAACATTACGTAAAGTTTCCGAGCCGGTACCAATAGAAAAGATCAAAACCAAAGAAATACAGACGCTTATACTGAAATTACGTTTCGTTATGAACAAATACAAGTCAGTAGGTATGTCGGCTCCACAAATTGGTGTAAATATGAGAATATTTGTGATGCAACTGAATCCATTGCAACTTGCTAATGCACCCCAAGCAATTGTTAAATCAAGGGGCATGGAAGTGATTCCGTTTACTGTAAGTAAGTAAATATCATTTAAAGTAACTAATGAGGTATGAACATTTTCTGCTCACCTCTAAACTATTAAAAACATTGATTCTAGGTATTTGTCAATCCCACATTGAAAGTTTTGAACTATAACAAAGTGATATTGTCGGAGGGCTGTGAAAGTGTACAAGGATATACTGCTGATGTACCTAGATATAAAGAAATACAAATTTCAGGTAATAGCTTATACAACACAAAAACTTGACTGGTGTAAAGTTGTCTTGTGAGCCTGTATGTAAGTACATACTACATAGCGTTAGGTTTACAGGGTAAAGCAGTCCCTACACTGTACAATGAGAGATTTCACATGTTTCAAGATCGATAGGGGCATTCATTTTTTTTATTGCCCAAGTAGAAAGATGTGCAAATGGCCCACCTGGTGGTGAGTGGTTACAATTGCTCATGGACATCAGCAACTCTAGGAAATGCCAAGCCATACATTGCGATGTCTATAGGCTCCAATAACCACTTAACACCAAGTGGGTTGGGAGCTTGATCAAGCAATAGAAAACTAATTTTATATGGTAAATTTTAATACATTAAATAAGATAGAACTTTTTCCAGTAATGCTTAACAAATTAAACTATGTATTTATAAATTTAATCAGGATACAATGAAGATGGAAATCCCACATGCAACACTTATAGAGACTGGGCTGCGAGAGTAGCTCAGCATGAGATTGAGCACTTAGATGGCAAACTCTATGTGGATATAATGGACCGAAAAACGATGTCCTGTGTATGCTGGGAGGAAGTTAATTTATCGAAAGGAAAACTTGCTATACCGTTTTCGCCTGAATAAAATATTTATTGAATATTATTGGACTTTTTGGTAAATATTGTATAGGCTTTCATGATTACAAAGATAGCCAATGGTTTTGCAATATTTCATTTTTTTTAAATCATAATACCATCAAATGTGGTATTTATCAAAACTCTTAGAAACTTAGGAACATAACTAGTTAACTAGACTACATACCAATTTACACCAACACAATGCTGGAAAAGGAGTGAGCATCCCATCTAAAATACCCACCAAAAACTTCAATTAAGACACATTGCAATAGCAAAAAAATATCAAGTTACCTGGAATAATAAAATAAAAAAAGGTAGACATAAAACCTATGGCATGGCCAGTTATAAAAAAAGGAACAAAAAACAGAGACTTGCCAACCGCATTGCTATTTTTACTACTTTTTTATTACGAACTCTTACGTACGATACGACGTTGTGTGAGTGCGTTTTGTGAACAAACAATTTAGAAGAGTGTCGTCAAGTCGTCAGACCGGCCGCCTCACTGGACATCGTTTGTACATCAGTAAATTAACCCTCAGACACCGCCCACTGAGTTTCTCGCCGGATCTTCTCAGTGGGTCGCGTTTCCGATCCGGTGGCGAAGCACTGCTCTTGTTAGGGTCAGTGTTGGCAACACTCCGGCTTGATCCCCGTAAACTCACCTACTAGCTAAGGTTACGCTGAAATAGCCTCTCAAGTCTATCAGCTTAGGTAGGAAAAGAACAACAACCGGCCGCCGCCATTACGCGTCGTCCAGCAGTCACGTTCCTTAGATTCTGCAGCCTGTTAGAAGTCAGCGACGTGTGGCAGGTCCGTTTACTTGTCATTTCCTAGCCTCGGCCTGCCCCACTTTTTGTTGACTTTTTGGCGACACTACGCAGAAACTTCTAAAATATAGAACCAGCGCACCGCCGTGATGTTTGTGTAAAGAGTTTTTTCTCACTAGAATGTAAGCAAATAATGCAAATTTAAACAACATCTATTAAGCAAATATTTATTGAAATCCAATAAATGTTTAAAGCAATAAGTACTATTTTTCGACACTAACAATAATACTAATGATATACCTTCCTTAATATTAATTAGTGACAAAAACTTAAATAAAATCTCTGCATCGTTACTTCACATGGAATTATTAATTTAAATAATGAAAACTTAAATACCTAAAACATAACTATTCAATTAAAATATACAACAATTTTATAGGTTATGTTCAGTAGTGCGTTTTAATACTTCTAGACAATATTCGGGACCTAGAATTATACTGATTTATAAAGGTGTGTTATTGATAAATAAATAAAAATGAAACATAGCGTTAATACCAGTTTTACTGTTACATTTGTTACAAAAGTAGTATTAAAACATATCGCAATTCCCGGCAGTGTGCTAGCGAAATGCGGCATCTAAAACCAGTGATTACTTGAAATTGAGAAAAATCGCAACTAATTTCATTACATTCTAAAACTGAAATCTATTGAGTCACTAAAAGTCTTGAATTTATCGAAAATAATTTCTTTAATCCGACTTCAGAGTTGATACAGATATTGTGATTGCATTTACACATTTCATATACAGCTGCATTATAACTTACATTCTAATAATAGTCTTATTGAATATATCATTAACAAAAAACAATTTATCGATTTTGACAGTTAAATATGTATCACCAAGAACTGAATATTAAAGTTTGTTAATATATTATTTAAGTGCAACTAATCTATGGTTTCAACTGAAATATTCTTTCCCAGGGAATCATTTTTATTTGGGAACTTAAACATTATGCCAGATGTTATTTGACAAGTTTTGAGTTAAATATTTGCACTTCACAATCTTTTGTTGTTTAGCTTATCGTAGTGGGTTTGAAGCGATAGAAGCGATTGACGACAACGACGGCGGTGGTGAGAGTGCCGCATCATCGTCAGCTTGGTTGTTCCGAAGTTCTTGAAGCGTGTAGACCAGCTTGTTCCATTCGTCGTGCCGGGGTGACCAAACTTGCTGTAATTTTAAGTGCATTTATATATATATTTATTGCTTAGTTGGGCAGACGAGTTCACAGCCCACCTGGTCTTAAGTGGGTACTGGAGCCCATAGACATCTACAACGTAAATGCGCCACCCACCTTGAGATATAAGTTCTAAGTTCTCAGTATAGTTACAACGGCTGCCCCACCCTTGAAACCGAAACGCATTACTGCACCGCAGCAGAAATAGGCAGAGTGGTGGTATCTAACCGCGTGGATTCACAAGATGTCCTACCACCAGTAATACAAGTCAGAAAGCCGGTTTTGGTGTGGATATGCATCAGAATATACCTCTGCAAGTTCGTAGACGGATATCTTGCCCCTGTCGTCTCCGGCTGTGACGAGCGAGCCGGCTGGAGACCACGACACTCTGCTGAAGGCCGCCCCGCCCTCCGCCTGCACGCTCGCTATCGGCACCTGAAGTATCATGAGCATGTGTGTCAGAGGACCAGCTATCGACGGCCAGTAATAGTAGTTAGCAGTCTCGGTAATGAGAGAGATTTCAATGGAGAAAACGTTGTAGTTTCAATAAATTCCCACCAATTTCTTTTTTTCATAACTCTAAGATGGCTGAACGAGCTCATGACCCACCCGGTTTTAGGCAGTCACTGGGGTCATCAACTAATTAAATTCCGCTACCACCACTCAAGTATAAATTTTTATAATACAGCTACTGCATATTTCAAACCGAGACGTTGCCATTCTATGCTATTTCTATGGGTAAGGTGGTGGTACCTACGGGTGCGGGTTCACTAGACGTCCTAGCACCAGTAATTAATTAGAATTGTTGTGAGTTTCATTTTTATTACACAAATATTATTTTTCTCCTACCTACGCCGAAATCCCTGGGTATAAGTGCGCATGCGCGTTAATGTCACGTCTGCTCTCACGCACCTAAAATTCTCCGCTATTATTGTGCTCGGGTAATTTTCAATATTGTGTTTAGTGTAAAAGTGAAATAAACAAAAGGCAATAAAATTTAATAGTTAAGTATCAAACAAAGATGAGTTCATCAGACAGTTCTTATTCAATTAGTAGTAGTTTATTTAAAAATTTCAAAACAATTGAATTATTAATTTTTTTGGGGCTCTGCCCACTCCCCCCGCCAGGGTTTCGCCCCTGGACACCGGCTCGGTACTCCACGAACTTTTGGTCTGGTAGGAGAAAAAAATAGTATGTTCACCACGGGAAAAAGTAGGACATCTCATCCCGCGTGTTACAAAATGTACTATTCTTCATTCTGTAAGTAATCCGTGAGCATGTGTCAGGTAGGTAGGTGGGTGTGCGTCACCTCAGTGTCGCGGTTGAGGTTCCAGAGGTCGAGGCGCGAGGCGGCGTCGGCGGCGGCGAAGAGCGCGGGGTGCGCGGGCGACCAGCGCACGTCCACCAGGTAGTCGCCGTTGTCCTCGAACGAGTACAGCGGCTTGCTCTCCTGCAATTTTATATTTATATATTCATGAGATAAAATCACGGTATAAAATGTAGTGGCGTAAAATTGAAATATTAATTGAATTTGGAAGTGATAAAAACAAAAATAAATAAATAGCAGTTTAATAAAACTAACGAAATACGCTTTTATAGAAAATCCAACTAAAAAATAGAAAACAAATTTTAATAAATTTGAATTAAAAATAGTTTAAGAAAAATAATTTTACTGTAAAAAAAAAGGGTGAGGTGCATGGTGTGAGTAGTTATAAATATTTTATGAACAGATATGAGTAGAAGGGTTATTTTGATAACATCCTGAAAAGGAACCCACGCTTTTACAAAAAAAATATTATAAAGAGGAAAGATTTGTTTGTTTGTTTGTTTCGAATAGGCTCCGAAACTACTGGACCGATTTGAAAAATTCTTTTTCCATTAGAAGCCGACATTGTCCCTGAAGAACATAGGCTACTTTTAAAAAAAAAAATTATTTTATTTTTTTGGTTTCATGTGTGTTTTAATGTTTCCGAAGCGAAGCGAGGGCGGGTCGCTAGTTTACAATAAAATCATTTTTTCTTACACTATTTTTAATTCAAATTTATTAAGATTTATTTTCTATTTTTTAGTTGGATTTTCTATAATAAGCGTATTTTGTCGGTTTTTTTCAACTATTATTTATTTTTCATTTTAAATTGTCATCGGTCTTTACTAAGTATACTAAATTTCGAGTTAATCCGACGTTTTGAACGGGATCAAAATCATGTTCAAAGATTCCGTTACATACTAACATACATACGTCTGAAGCTAATAAAAGTGTATTAAAATGATGATATATAACATTGAAGTATGTGAGAGCGCTGCGTGGGTACCTTGAGCGACCAGAGCTTGACGCTCCAGTCGACGGAGCAGGTGAGGTAGAGGTGCGCGAGGTCCACGGGCCCGGCGGCGGCGTGGCACGACACGCCCGTCAGCGGGCCCGCGTGCGCCTCCACGCACTCCGTCACGCCCGCGCGCTGCCCGTACAGGCATCCTGCGCACGCACTGAACACTATATACACTATACACACCTTCAGCCTTAGCTTAGATCAGCCTTTCCCAAAGTGGGCGATAACGTCCCCTTGTGGGCGCTGCAGGCCTAAAGGGAGGCGATAAAAGACTCAGATAAAAAAAAAAGGGGGCGTTGTGTAGAGGCTTGGGAGTCGATTTGTAATTTAATCCAGGAGGACTCTTAGATACCAACGCAGCTCTCGTTATAGTGGTTTTTAAGTAGGTGAAAAAATGAGGGCGTTAAAAAATAATTTATTCTCAAAGTGGGCAGTAGACAAAATAAGTTTGGGAACCCCTGGCTTAGATGGAGTCTATTCTATCATGTCTCTATTGGTGAAGGAACACGTTGGCAATAATCCATCTCCCGATCCAATTGCCATTAAGGTCTTACGTCTCAAGACGGCGTAATCATTGATGCAGTCGTCTGCAGTTTGTATGTGGGTGTTGCTCAGCTGTGGTGGGGGGCAAGGTGGGCATCGTGCCCCGGACGCTACTCACAAAGAGGCACCAAATGATCCACAAAACAAAAAAATGCTAGATAATTTATATGTAGTTTTATTATAATTTACATCTTAAAACCTTATCCCACTAGATGGGGTCAGCATAGTGAGTTTTTCTCTTCCATTCTCTTCTATCAGCCGTCATCTCAACACTCACTCCTATCTCTCTTTTATATCATCATTCACACACTCCATCCACGTCTTTTTCGGTCAACCTCTTCCCCCTCTACCTTGCCTACCATTTCCATACATCTCCTAGTCACATGCACATGCTAGATAATTTTTATTATAATTAATTTCTGAAAAATATTACACTAAAAAGGTATTATAGCGGGCGCGAGTGAAGATCGCTGCGCCAATGTTACTCAGTATCGTGGTGTTTACTGCTACGCAACGTATCAAATCGGATAGTGAGAAGAATGGTTCTTCGCCCCAAAGCTTCCAACATTAAAAGACGAAACGATCACCTGAAATGCATTCGCACTGACCCGTATACACGTTTCCGTCTTCGGATCCGAGCACGAAGTTGTTGAGCATGGTCTGGGGGCAGTCCATGCAGGTGACGGCGACCGGCTTGGCCTGGCGGTGCTGCAGCTCCAGCGTCTCCTGGGGCTGGGACAGCATGTCCAGGGACCAGGAACAGAGGCGCCCGTCCGTCGATACCGAGATCAGGTTATGGGCGTTCTGGCTTCCTATCACCGACAGGCAGTACACCGGGTGCTGAAAGAAAGTTTAACAAGGGCGTTCATACTTGCTTCTACGATGTTAATTAATTAGTATTTCTTGTCTAATTATTATGAAGGCGCGTAAAATCGAGTTGGATTGTTGTAAGTTGATAGAAGACACCTTTTTTTTTCTTACCTAAGCCTTGAGAGGCTATGCCAGCGTTAATTAACAATTAGGTGGGCTCTCGGGGCTCAAACCTGAGGATGTTGCTAACACTGGCCTTAGCAAGAGCAATGCTTCTCAGAATCTACTACCGGATCGAAAACGCGACCCACTGAGAATATCCGGCGAGACACTCAGTGAGCTGTGTCAACGAGTCAGCCAGCGCGGCCCCCAAGGTCCCCCATATACTCATAGTGCGCGAGCGCGGTCCCTACGGCCCCTCGTATACTCACAGTGTGCGCGACCGAAGACAGCGGCGTGCGCTGCACCGGGGTTCGCTTTTGCACGCGATTGTCCCACAGCACGATCTGTCCCGAATACGTGCCTCCGAGGATCAAGTTAGGGTGGAACCTAAGACATGTACATAAAAATGCTTCATTATATTCCAAAACCAGGAGAATATGAATAATATTTAAAATACTTATTATTTGTGACGCACGGCCGTAAGACAGAGTTATAATCTTTATTTTTGAACAAAGTGAGAAGTTTTTTTTTTATATTGCTTTAGGTGGATTTTGGACGATGTCTCAATAACGACTATTTCTGCTTCGCGGAAAAAGGCAGGTGGTACCTACCCGCGTGGTTACTGCCGTCAAATTTGAGTCAATTCCTAGTCGCTTCGTCCCAAGCTCCGCGCACGTAAGACCCCTAGAAGATTGTTATAAACTTCAACTCACCTCGCAAACGTGGCGCTCATAACCGCCGACTGACAGTGGAATATGTCTTCGGGAGTGGTCTTCTTGAACTTGGTGTTCCAGACCAGGCACACTCCGTCAGGGTCGTGCGGCGCGTCGTCACTGTTGTAGTACGAGGCCAGCACCAGTTCCGGGTGAAACGTGGACCAGTCCAGGCAGGTCACGCATCGGCCGCGCGACCAGCGTTCCTCTTCGAAGGTACGAACCAGGGAAAGACGGGCCGCTGACTTGTCGTCACTGCATCGATGTGATTTTTGTTAATCGAATATATGGTTCTATGACTATACTTTTTTCAAAAAGGGGAACCTTATCAAAACTGTTACCGTAAATACCTGTATATTGATAGTATTTATTATTTGTATATTCATTTTTGCTTAGGATTGAAGACCTTTATACTATTTGCCTTAAATGGAGAGTAGACAGAGAACACTCATTTGATTCATTAACTCCCGATTCCTTAATTTAAGAGTCTACCGAATAGCTTAAAATATTATTTTAGAGATTGGCTAAATTGACACTTTTATAGAGCATTTGCTCTTGATTTAGCGGTTTAAGATAGAGTCAGAACAGTTAATCAAATTTAGGTTCAGATCAGATCAGTCTAATCCATACAACATTTATGTCTTATTCATTTGCATGTGATGCGTCTCAGTAGTTTATTTAAAAATGATAATGATATTTCGGTGACGTCATTCTTAAGTTAAGTTAATACTTGATAAGGTTATTTTTGGTGACTCGTTCGTATTTCTTTTTTTTTCGGGCTGAGAAGGTCGACCCTCCTACGAGATATCCACTTAGGGGACCTGCGGGGTATGTGACACTTATTGACGGTCTGCAGATGTTGGGAGCAGACCGCGGGCCTAAGGATATTTTTAGGGCCCCTTCCACACCAAACGACTCCACCTTGATATTTCGGTGACGTCATCTCAAGTTAATAAGGGTCATTTTTTGTGACTCGTTGGTATTTCTTACCTCAACCCTCCGTGGCGCAAATTAATGGGGAAACCAGTCGCTCAGACACTTGACAAGGTTGACGCCGAGAGTCAAATGACTGTTTTTAATTTGATTGTTCGATCGATCCGAAACGGTTTCCACATCATACCGATATCAAATTTAAAACAACATGCTTAACGAAGACACACAGAACAAATGAATGTAGGTAAACAAATAATGAAATATTGTTTCCGTGACTTGACTGTGATGCGATCAAACTCTGTTAACGAATATGACAAGAATTTTGTGAACGTGGAATGCTTTTAGGTACAAGTACGTAAGTTGTTAGTTTCTATTTGAAGGCGGTGGGTGTTTGAACACACATTCCAACGGACAAAATCCATTAGGACTGGTCTCTCAAGTTCATTCTAATGAATAGAGAAAAGAAGTCAAGCTATGATAAGCACGAGTTTGCCAATTCTAAATAGACTGGTTTATAAACATGGATCTATTCAAAAAAATGAACAAAATGTTATTAGTAAGATTTAAGATTGACAATGTCGGATGTTTTTTTAAGAATATCTCTATCTGCATCCATAATATTATGCAAACAATATTATTTAAAATCACCTCACAAAAATTGTTAGGTCACAATAGTTTTTAGATTCATTACTGAAACATACCCTTTCGAATACCTACAACAAAATTTTAATCTGATTACTTTTACAATTCATTAAAATGTTCACGTGTTCATTAGACAAAGTTGCGTCGAAATGTGAACGGCTAACCTAACCTTCAAACAGAGCGCATCAGAAATATGCAGAATGAAATTTTCAGTCAAAAACAATAACAATTCATCGCGCAGTATCCAAAACCAAAATACCAAATTTGTAATTATTTTTGTAAAATAATATATTGTTCCTTAATCTTAAGGAGGTTAAAGGATTCTCCTGGTTACCTGAGATGATCTCATCACACGACTGATTACAGACAAACAACAACAATACATAATATGTAATATGATTTGTCACAAATATCAGTAATGACCATTTTTTTGTTTTTTTTTTGTCCTACCCAAGCTGGTAGCCTAGAGAGGCTATTCCAGCGTAACCGTAACTAGTAGGTGAGCTCACGGAGCTCATACCTGACGACGATGCTAACACGAACCCTAGCAAGAGCCGTGCTTCGCAGAATCTACCACCGGATCGGAAACGCGACCCACTGAGAAGATCCGGCGAGAAACTCAGTGGGCTGTGTCTGAGAGTTAATTTACTCGTCGAGCTCTTCGTCGCAAACGACGGGTTCGACGAGAACGGTGACCGGTGCTTGAAGTACCTAGAAGCACCGTTAGTGGATCGGGAGGATCCGAGATGACGTGTTTTGAGCGACGTCGACTGCTTTCCATTCTGTCCGCAGGATCGGGAATGTAGTTACCGGCGGCCACGATGAGAGGGTTCTCGTGTAGTGCCGCTTTATCGAAGTGGGTAATGACCAAGCAACGCCTAATAGCTTTCATTTTTTTTGTCTACCGTCCAACTATACTATAAAGAGAGTATGTAGTTTACTAATGTATTTATTGAAACTGTTCCATAGTTTGAAGCCGCTTTCAGACTACACTATAATATAATATCGCATAGTATATAGCTCATAGCACAACAATATCACCATACATTGTTAAGGACACTTTCAAACTGTACTGTGCTATATATTATTGACTAAGTATAAGCTGTTATACAGGGTGGCCCATAAGTCCTTTGAAAAGTAAAATTTGAATAAAACGAACAGGGCGCGCGTGAGCGGTGCAGGGGAAGCGGGGGGAGTAACTTCGGTTTCTGGGAATTTAGTCGCGATGGAGCGTTTTACCGGAGCGGACCGTGTGTTTTGTGTGCGCGAGTTTTATAAAAACGACAATTCGGCAACCGTTGCGCGGCGTAAATTTCGAGAACACAAAGGTTTACACAACTTTGACGACACTCCAACTCTTCAAACGATTAAGAACTGGGTTGCTAAGTTCGAGGAGACCGGTTCGACGTTAGATAAACCGCGGTTGGGTCGCCCAAGGACGTCACGTACGGAACAAAACATAGACACAGTGACACAGTCTATTCGCGAAAATCCGACACAGTCAACTCGTAAGCGCGCCAGAGCATTAAACGTATCCAGGACATCGTTACAACGGATTTTGAAGAAAGATTTACATATGCACCCTTACAAAATTCAGTTGGTTCAAGAATTAAAGGAAACTGACGGTATTCAAAGACAAAATTATGCGAATGAAATGTTGAATCGGTTTACTTCCTTCAATAACATAATGTTCTCTGACGAGGCTCATTTCCATCTTAACGGGCATGTTAGTAAACAAAATTGCCGCTATTGGAGCCCCATCAATCCAAAACTTAAGCATCAGAAGCCCTTACATAGTCCGAAAGTGACTGTTTGGGCCGCTATGTCAGCCCATGGTATCCTAGGGCCTTACTTCTTTGAGGATGGCAGAGGGCGCGCAGTTACTGTTACGTCGGAGCGATATGTGGCTATGATCGAAGAGTTTTTCATACCAGAATTGCAAAACTTTTCAGGCTTTAATGCCAGGACGTGGTTTCAACAGGATGGGGCCACTTCTCACACCTCTAACACTGCTATGCCCGTTATCCGTCAACTTTTTCCTGGCAAAGTTATCTCTAAGAGAGGAGACATTTCCTGGCCTCCACGTAGTCCAGATCTGACCCCGATGGATTTTTTTTTGTGGGGCTACCTTAAGGCTAAAGTATACGACACAAACCCGCGGTCAATTGAGGCCCTAAAAGAAAACATCCGCAGAGAAATGACAAGCATTTCAGCAGTGACGTGCCGCGCAGTCATCGACAATTTTAGACGTCGTTTGCAAGAGTGCCGTGATCGCAACGGATTACATTTAGGAGATGTTATTTTCAAAAAATAATTCCCGTTTTTTAAGCTTTTTATGTAAATAAAAATTTAATTCATAATGTAATTAGTTTTATTTTAATAAATTTTTTTTCATATCAAAGGACTTATGGGCCACCCTGTACCATATGGCACTATAGTATCGCGTAGTCTGAAAGGAGCTTAACGAAGATAATTAAATATGAATCCTCTTTAAAAATCCAATTTAGATGGGTACTAGTTTTTATTATAATATGATTGTTCTAAGTGGGCATAGGTGGGTAGGTATAAATCTACGTAGTAGTAGGTATAAACCTACCTATGGTCTATTTGGTATTTATTAGTTACCGGAGCCAATGAACACTGAAGCCTGAAAGCTGCCCAATACTTTGAATCATGGTAGAAGTATACAAATTTACTACAGGCATGAAATTTGTATAAGGCATTCGCGCATGATACTACACATAATATCGTGCAATGGTTTGCTCTCTGTTTAAAATAGACATAACAACACCTTATTGACATCCATGTTTCATTCGATTTTAAATTTATATTTTTTGATCGACTCTATTTGTATCTAGAGACTTAAAAAATTTAACAACAATAAATAAGCCTATTACGATATTATTTAATGTTCAAAGACAACGGGACTAATTGCGCCGTTAACTGCTTTATCCAAGGTTATTTCGCTATTTTAAACATTTTTCGTATGTTTTATTTTAGTGATATATATCTTCGGTGTGCTTAGTGCGAGTTTTTTAACGTTTGCCGCTAGGGGCGCTGTTCCAACTGCATACAAATCTGGGTTAACTTTTACGCTATCGAGAACGTTAAAAAACTCGCACTAAGCACACCGGTTATGAAGTTCCTCCTAAAGCCCTCATTCGCACGGGCATTTTAAAAACGTTGCGTTAAAACGCTTTATAACGTTCTCGATGTGCGTAATCTGTAACGCCCAACGATTAGCGCTCAAAATGCAACACTGCGCGATAAAAAAGCGTCGCGTTTTAAAAGCGCTGACGTATGAACTCATACTAGGAAATGCATCTGTTCTATTTGAACGCTTTTTTAAGGCGTGCTAAAAAAAACTCCCGTGCGAATGAGGCCTAAGGGTTGAGTAATGAGCGGAACTCACAGAGCGTTCTCTCCGTCACCCCCGCCCGTGTAGTCGGTGTAGATGTCGACGGACTCGGCGAGCGCGCGTTCGATGACTCGTCCGGCGCGACTCATGAACCTCTGGAACTCGGCCGACAGCATTATCGTCTGCTTCTCGTCAGCGCTCAGCTCGCGCACCGCTAAGATTCGAATACGAGAGGAACATTCAAAAATAAATCCTAATGCTATTATATCGAGGTGCTATTATCAATCAAGGGGTGAAAGGTTATTTGGTTTAAGCGATAATTCGCTTAATACGCAACATTTATCTTTGTGATTAAAGGTCCGGTTTATGTGGTACTTCAATTAAGTTTACCCCATTCAAATAGCTGATAAAAGTTTTTTTGTTATCATATTTTTTTCAAATTTTAAACTTGAAATAGATCTCGTGTAAAGTTGCAAAAATGTCGGTTAAATCAAGTCACATGAGCGGTTTTCAGATAACACAAAATAATGTATCAATACAAATAATATGATACTGTGAATTATGTAATGCATTAATCTTTAACATCATTTTCGTGAGAATTATATTAGAAATATAACATACAGTTCATAAATATATTCTGTATCGGTTTTCGGTGATTGCCTTTTTCAATGCCTCTGCACAATTGACATACGCAATGAGTAGTATTTATCGTAAGGCCGTGCGATAATTTTGTCTTGCCCAGTCTTGCTTATTTAATCTTTGGCACATAGTTATAGGCAGCAGCTTGGCTTTGCTCCTGGCATTGCTAAAGTCCATGGGCGACGGTAACCGCTCACCATCAGATGGGCCATGTGCTCGTCTGCCTACAAGGGCAATAAAAAAACAAGATACACCAACCTTTCTTCTCTTTCTCTTCGTCTTTCTTCTCGACGGGCGCATCGGTGACTGCGGGTTGGACCTCCTTGACGGTGGGCAGGCCGTGCGGCAGTATCCCCGGGGGCAGTTTACCGTGGAAGGCGGCCTCCTCGTCGTCTCCTTGGCGCGCCACGTCGCCGTCGAATGTAAGCACTGGACGGTGAATAAGAATGGCCCTCGACGAGCGTGTGGTGTGCGTGTGTGTTTAACATACAGCTTGATTTATTTTCTACGGAATTTTCTTATTAGAGAGATCCGCTTATACTACTACGCAACTATAAAAATATTGACGCGAAATTGAGCACTAATAATATAATAGGTAATCTGTGACTTTTGATGGTTGGCAAATTATCGTCATTGCACGGTCGTTTTAATTATCAAAAATAGTCGACTCGAATTTAGACGAAAAATACATATTATTTTTATGCAAGCTGTACGTTACGCGCGATAACTTCATGAAGGTTTGTTAAAATAATTACATTATTAAGAGTTTTTGAATTTGTTTAATTGTGACTTCATGAAATTACCTTTAATGTTATAATGTGTAATACTGACATGACTAATGTGCATGATTATGTAACCTAGCTACAGGTGTCATGGCTACCGATGCTGATCTAATAGTGATGGCGTTTCAGTAACATATGAGCAAATGTATTTGACGTTTTTATTAATCTATTCCTACATTTTGTTTGAATTAAAAGCTTATGCCGATTAGTAACTTTTTACGAAATTATCGACTAAGCCAGTTCTGGAATGAGAGGCTGGGCCACACTGCTCATGTGTTACCAAACATTTTAATGATCATTTTATAGGATGCATTGGAACCGTTCCCAATGTAGATAGCTAGTGGTGATTCTAAATGCAGCGATCTTTTTTACCAGCACTTAAGGGTGCATTCAAGTTTTTGTAAGCAAAGCTTAAGAGGTGAGGTCTATTTTCTTATTTGTTTTGGGGGGTATATTATATTACTTAATTGTTACAAGGAGGACCAACAGCTTAAGTCTAACATAATAGAATAGAATAAAAACATATTGAAACAGCCAATTAAAGGTATAAAAAAATCCAAACGCTTTTTATTTCTTCTGAAAACAAAACTTTTCTCTTTTGTACATTACTATATATTATCTACCTAGTTTTATTACATTAACCGACATTTAAATCTGGAAATTCTGTTCTCAGCACGATGGTTTGTAACGAATATTTTTCGAATCAAGGTTCATGTAAATTTTTATTATACCGTCAAAATATCGAGCGATTTTTTTATTTATTTTTGTTAGTTCGTTTGATTACGTAATACTTGAAAGACCTCCTGTTGTAGTAACACAATTGATATAGTTGTTGCAGAGTACGAGCGCGCGTGGCCTTTATTTGTAGTTGCAATCGTAAATACACATTTTCGTTAGTATGTGTACCCGATGGAGCGGTCAGCAGACAGCTTTAGCTACATATCCGGTCATCGTTCTCGCCGAACCCGTCGCTTGCAACGAAGGGCTCGACGAGTCAATTAACCCACAGACACAGCCCACTGAGTTTCTCGCCGAATCTTCTCAGTGGACCGCGTTTCCGATCCGGTGGTAGATTCTGCGAAGCACTGGTCTTGCTAGGGCCAGTGTTAGCAACACTCTGGTTTGAGCCCCGTGAGCTCACCTACACGTTAGGGTGAAGCTGAAATAGCTTCTCAAGGCTATCTGCATAAGTAGGAATAAAAAAATTGAGTCTGTGTCTGTAGGTTAATTCGCTCGTCGAGCCCTTCGTCGCAAGCGACGGGTTTGACGAGGACGGTGACTGGTGCTTGTGGTACCTAAAAGCACCGTTAATGGATCAGGATGATCCGTAATGACGTGTTTTGGGCGACATCGACTGTTTACCATTCGGTTTACAGGATCGGGTATGTAATTTCCAGCGGCCACAAGAGGGTTCTCATGTCGTGCCGCCTTCTCCAAGTGCTGCCTCTCAAGGGTATCAGCATAGGTAGGAAAAGAGTAGAAAAAGCTACATATAGCCTACATTGACGCGTATACACATAGGCCACTCACACAACTAAGGGCGGCGCGCAGTCGTACTTTGCAACAACTGTACGCGGAATGAACTTTCCAGTGTGACGCGGGGCGTTCGTCAACTGCATTAACTTAGGATTGGCTATTCGTAAACAAACTCTCTAAAACCACTAGTATCTATGCTAATACTTTTCACGTTTAGATAATATCTACAATTTAAAGTTTCAGCTTCGCGAACGGTTCCCTTACATCCAGCATGATATTGCAATGAAACAAAAGCGAATTGAAATCACTTTCGGAAAGAAAAAAATACAACACGAAAGCAGTTTCAATTCATCTTTTTTAGGAAGAAAATGGTAATTGAAGCAACAAGTCAATTAAAGTTCATCTTATTTATAAATACTTTGCTGACATGACAAAAGCGTAGTCTATGATGGAAGACTTAACGTCATCATTTGTCTAAGTCCAAATTAGACATGTTCCAATTTTTCGAAAAGAAATCGAACTTTGTTCTCAGATTGGTCCGGTATCGACGCCCAATCTAAGTTATTAAAAGTGAGAGAGTATTTTTTTCATAATGACTATGATTTTCGAAAATGTTATTCAAAATACATTACTTAATCAAATTAAATCAAATCAAAAAATATATTTTTTATTCAACATAAATGAAAGTACATACTTGTTGAACGTCAGAAGAACTACCGCCAATTCACAAGAACTAGCCTCCGTCTTGAGAAGAATTGGCAAGAAACTCAGCGGGCATTTTTTTTTTAATATGATTTTTTTTATTTTTTATATTAGATTTTTTTTAAATATGAAATTTTTACAATGAGTATTATAACGTAACAATTACTACAATATTGAAATGCCCGGAGCGAGCAACTCATTCCCACTTTGTGCAATCTTCTAGTGCAAAAATTATATCTCTGTTACATTTGTAATAGCATCAAAGTGTACAGCAAATATTAACAACTAACATTTACTCTTTCTTTACTTGTTTTCCCATTAAATATTGCGTATTAATTCGACAACAAATTAAATATCCCGAGACGCGTGCGGACAAATGACAACGTTTAAAATCAAATGGTCGAGAAGCGTACGGATTAATTTTCTAATAACTAAAGCGCTAGCTAAAGAACAGAGTTACAGCAATATGTGTAAATGAATCTAAAATATAAATTTGTTCAAAAATTTGCTCACGTTACGTACGTTTTTATTAGTCTCGTTGAGCGAACACCCTGAGTGTAATTTTGGTATGCTTGATCGTAAAAATAGCCTCCACTCAAATGCCCCTCGAAAGATTTCCTCACCGGAGTAGAGTAAACAAACCAAAAAACAGTAGATTTGAGGAATATTGTAATGGTCGACTAAAGATACCAAACTCGAGTACCTATGTTTTGGAGGATTTCTCGAGGCGTCCTCGGATGAGTTAGAGTGGAGGAAAATTTTAGGAAATATCTAAAGATATGGGTGTAAGCGACATACGCTTTTGCACTGGCTGACTAGTAAATGGAGTTCCCGCAACCTACGGCCAAGAACTGTGAGCACTGGTGAACGACATTTCGCGTTACGTACTGATAGTACATAGATATGTTCGTTAGCATTCAGATTCAAATGTAGGTAACTCTCCTATAATACGCTAGATACGTTCCTACCAAGTCCCGTGTTGTGCGAAACCGTGTTATATGAAACTAGAAGCTAGTACACGTTTTTCAGAATGAAACATTTCCACTATGATGCCTCTATGTATATTTTTACCTATTATACATAAAAAATAAATAGCAAAATTTCGATTATTCAGTAATTTTCAAATTCAATTCTATCGAATGTCATTATCTAAATGATTTTAAATAAAAATCTTATTTTTTCCCCCACTTATTCGCTGGTACCCTAAAGGAGCTATTCCAGATACGCCCGGACGGGTAGGTGAGCTCACGGGCTCAACCTAAGAGAATTTGTTACCACTAGCCTTAGCAAGAGCAGTGCTTCGCAGAATCTACAACCGGATCGAATCGCGACCCACTGAGAAGATCCGGCGAGAAACTCAGTGCGTTGTGTCCATGGGAAGATCTTAATATTGTGTTGTTCATGTACCGTGTTATATATAGAGGGTTTTTGGGAAATTTTCTTTTCATGTGACAGTGGAACCGTGTTGTAAAATACCGCGTTATATGAGGGTTACCTGTACTACAATGGAATCAGAAGGATATTCTGAAATCAATCTTTTAATGTAGCGTGGTGAGTGTAAGGGAACCGATCGTGAAAAAGAAGATTGTAAGGCAATGCTGTCGGTCCTGGTGAGATCTAATAAGCCGTAATCGAAGAATTGAATAAATAACGATCATTAACTCAGGCAGGGCCAGTGATGAGCACCCAGTGTCCCATCCCTCAAGTTTATTTGGAGGCTATAGACATTGCTACGTGAATACAGTCACTCACTTTGAGACACCAAGTTGAATGTTTAATTATATTGTGTAATACCCGTGTCATCATCCCAACTAAAACGCATAGCTGGTTAATGGCAGATATTGACGGAACGATACCTACCTCTGCGTGCTCACATTACGACCTAGCACCATCACAGTTGTAAGAATTTCAGTTAGTGTTACCAGATATTTCTGAGTTTATTATTTTAATAAGTCAGGTACTTTCAAGCAAAATGAACCATAATTTATAGGGTTTTTAATGTGATGATACCCAAGCTGCACCATGCACGAACTTTGAACGTACCAACCGTTAAACTCATATTTTATGTCTTCTTTTTATCGTGAGCATGAATGTAAGAAAAATATACCATATTACTGTAACAATATTCTCTGTGGATGCATTCAGTTTTCAAGGATATTTCACTGAATATGACACATATTGATTACCACGATTTTATCTTTAGTTATTACTATTATTAATAATGTGGACCGGCTTGATTGGTTAGTGCTAACCAACTAAACCCCGTTCTGATATCAAGATCGAATCGTGACAATCGTTATTCTGTGATTTGATGGCGACCCAACATCATTTTCTTTTGAAACTGATAGCATTTTAAAGTATTTGACTACGATCAATCATATTTATTATATTATCAAATTGAAACGACTAAGCGCAGCTCACACATCTTTAATTGAAGCGTTAAGTACGACGGTGACAGAAAGCGTTTGTAAAAATAAAAAGGGAAATATAATGCCAAAATTAAAAAACTTCCCGAGCTCTCCACAAGAGAGATAAGTCTCACAGTTGAAAAAAAAAACAAAGATACATAATATAATATATTTAGCTGTATGTTGGTGACGTAGGTTCATGCATATTTGTATTGTTTCTGTCACATGCAAATGTCTTTATTTATGTTACGTGCAGATAGTCTATGTTTTAATATTTTTTTAATTACTCATCACCGAGCTGGCAAGTTTGTTTCATATACAGGCTGATGATTTTACGTAACTTCGGAGGTTTTTTTTTAGATTGTATATTTCACAAAATTGACTGAAAAATTTATGTGCTTAGTTAACGAATGTATAGTTAGCGTTCGATAATAAATAGCTGTTAAATACGTACAGTAATAGTGAGTAAGAAAAACAACACAAGGAAAACCATGCAGTGTAGTAAGTAGGCACAGGCTCTAATAAGGATATAAATATTATATTTTTAGTTTTGAATGAATGTTTGTATGATTCGGATTTGGAACCTACCTGTGAACTCGTCCTCCCACTCTAAACCCGGGTTTAGATTGTACTCGTCTTGAAAAGGGGAGGAAAAACAAAAAAAACAATGTCAGTATATTTTGACCATTTTATATATATAAAAAAAATTGTAATAATAATATTATTTGTATTAAAATTTTATACATAGCAAGAGTGCTTATATATTTTACAGCATGACCTATATTTTTGGACTTTGCAGCGACAAACTTAACAAAATTAAAATCGAAAACTCGAAAACTGTTCTCTAAATATATAATAATAAGTTCTAGTTTGGCGCTACGAGAGTCCGTTTGTGAAGACCTGTGCAGTGTTTGTTAATCGAATCGAAAGGGTAAGTCAGCGTGAAATGATATGGCAACCCATACTACCACCATAGTCAACATACAAATATGATTATTTCATATTTAATTCGTTATGCGGCCATTATAATTATAATTAAACAATATCGTTTTGTACCACGTGGAGAACTCTGGAAGGCCACAGTAATAATGCATGGGCATTTCAACATGACACGATGACGCTTCTAATCATCACATCACCCCCCGGAAATCAGATTGCTTGATAAAGCGTGAATCAAATGATAGAGTTTATCAAGTTACCTGCAGCGCATCTATACAATGTGTTAGTAGGAAAATAAACCAGAGGTGTGACAGGAAGAACCGAATATTTACAAGTAATAGGATATTAATGTTGTAATGTAAATAAAAAACCGACACCCGAGTTAATGAATTCGTATGTGAGATGTTGGTTAGGAGAGATTACGATTTTCAAGCGTCCTGCAGGAATAATAACTTACCGTAATAATCGGTTGCGTGCGCTAGAAGGGGAACAAAATAAACATATATGCCGTCAGTTAAATGCTTTCTGCAAAATCTGTTTCATTAAAAATATCGGTTAACTTCTATACAGTAAAATGGCGTGCAGTGTATCGAAGCATATCTAGAGCCGCGAAATGCCTATGAAGAGATTTTATGAGAACATCTTCCGTATAAAATATAATTACTAAAGTGTTATTAGAATATTTTTCACGCTACGTGACTATCCTATGAAAAAGGTCCTTAAAAATAAGGCCTTTTAACCTTCCAAAAGTGCATACCCTATTTTTATGGACCCAGCACAAAAACTAAAAAGGTACCTATTTATTTATTTATTAATTTTTTCCCTATCGATAGTCTAATAATCGAATACGCTACGTCCAAATAATCTTAAACATTTACATGTCATCTTTTTAAATTGTTTCTGCTCGATTACAACGACTAATGTACAATTTTACTTTAACTTTTTATGGCTTTTAGAAAATAGACTAAGCCTATTAATTTAAATAGACTAAGCCGCCATAAGTTAGACCATCGATATGAGAAAAAGAACCTTGCAACGACCGACGCATATATTTTGAACACGTCGCTGCGTACCTAAATGTTTATTTACATACTATATTTTATTTAAATTACATGTAATTTAATAGTATTCATACAATTCCCCGTGCGATTCAGTGCCATTACGAACGTATGCAACATGCTTGTATGTAGTTGTTACTAACAAACAAACACTCCCAACGTGACATATATGTATTATATATATAATATGTTAAGATGGCCGAATGTATAACACGATTTGAAAGTACACAACGGACATATGTAAACATGCACGTGCATGCAAGTTATGGATTATAAAAATTTGCAGTATCTCATTCAATTCTATCTTAAGACGCTCTTTGTGATATGCAACAGTGTAGTTTTTTTTTTGACGATTAATATTTACTTACTACTTCCTTGGGTCGATTCGATAATCATCAAATGAAAGTATTCCATGAGTAACGTACATTCCATAACGAGATTAGATATCGAAGCGAATAAATGGGGTTAAATTACTTTATACATTTACGTTGTGGATGTCTATGGGCTCCAGTAACCACTTAACACCAGGTGGGCTGTGAGCTCGTACACACATATAAGCAATAAAATAAAAAAACTTTATTGCCACAAACATTATTTTTTATTTTTTTGGTCGCATTTTACGCTGAAATAACCCTTTTTGATGATTATAAAATCAGCCCCTAATGAAATTAAAAGATTTTTAATTGGATCATTTTTGTGAAAAATTAACAATATATAATAGAAATAGAAGAAAATTTATTTATTTGATAATTACAAAAACTCAACTAAGCGTCGTAAATAAATTTATGAGAAGCTCTAACGCTCTTATTAATTAAATGATCCAATTACCAATAAGAACGAAGTACACCTAATATTTGTTGGAAAACATTAGCTGATTTCTTGTATTACTCTGACGGCCCTATTGCCGTCAAGCTGAAGTCCGTAGCCATCACAACGTTAATGACATCAACCACTTTGAGACGTGAGGTCAATTTAACGACTGTCTCATGTTTCGAACGCATGCCTGTTTCGCAGCTGCAATAGGCAGATTGGCTTGGACTTGGGTCAAACATTCGAATTTGATAAACTATTATACATAGTCAATTAGCATCTCATGGGAGGAGCTTTTGATAAAATAACTGAAGACTTTGTTTATTAGCAAACGTAAAAAAAGCTGCTAATCGAAGTATAATGTACAGAAACAACTTTACAACATTACAATTTACTTTTGCTTTATGAAGTGCTTATTCAAAGTCATTCAGTCCATATACCTATTTTCTTTAGAATCTGTTAAAATCCAGCTAATGCTTTCATTTACGTCACTACCACATCTAAATGAGATCGAAAGCGGGTAGTTTTATTTTAGTGATAATTAATATGTTATTGACATGTTACCATTACCTTTACGTGGCCGCCACCAGTCCTCCATGTATCCTGCAAGCGGTGATGCATTGGAAGAGCAGCCTTTTTATGGGTAGCACAAACACACAACAAATCACCCAGCTCGTACAGTATTTACGTTTTTTTTTTTTAAAGTTTAATTCATTTAATAGGGTGGGGGTTCGTTCTGAAGCCGTCGGAACTCGAATAGGACAATAGGTAGTGTGTTATCGATTGGAAAATTCCGAATGATCTTCTGGACAATAAAGCCCTTGTTTATCGTTAACAAAACAGACATTACTTAAGACTTTAGCTTGTATAAAGAGCCTATTTTAACTATATGAAACGATTACGACTGATTCTCTGTCATGAGCTTGTAAAGCTCCGATAATTTGTGAATAAGGGCACTGCGAGCAATTTGTATTTCAAAAGGGATACTTAATTAACTGGCTTCAGAAACTTTCTCTTTTCAGCATGTACGAAAAGGTATTTAAAGGGAATTTGATGCTGTTTGAATTCATTTATGTATTTATGTATTGTATCGTAGCAGCAATTATCGGTTAACCAAAAAGAAATTTTAATTTAATATGTGTCAGAGGTTCTAAAGAAAGAGGAGTGTAAAAAGTGGTGGTAAGACTTGTTGTGAGTCCTCACGGGTAGGTACCACCACCCTGCCTATTTCTGCCGGAAGCAGTAATGCGTTTCAGTTTGAAGGGCGGGGCAGCCGTTGTAACTATACTGAGACCTTAGAACTCATATCTCAAGGTGGGTGCGCATGTATGTTGTAAATGTCTATAGGCTACGGTAACCACTTAACACCAGGTCGGCCGTGAGCTCGTCCACCCATCTAAGCAATAAAAAAATTGGAAACTCGGTGAAAAATCTTCGCAGGAAAAGATTACCACAGATAGCTTTTTGATTAAAATCTCAATTCTGGGTTTTATTTCAATGCGTTTGTTCCATTTGTCTATTTGTCCACTACATTGATTTCTTTTTTACCTATTTCCTGGTAACCTAAGAGGCTATTCCAGCTAGTACTATACTATAACTGACGAACCATTTAAAATAAATGCAATTAATATGATTACTGTTTGAGTTTTTTTCTGGTTTTTCCTTTAAATTACCTAATAATTATCTCTGATTACTGACTTTAAATTACAGAAATGAATGCAAACAAGTTTCCCCTTGTACCGTTTACACGAATTAGAAAAAGGTAAATACTGTCACATTTCACTATGGATGTCATTGGTTAGAAAATATTTGCAAATAAATACTTTTAATGAATTTCATTAGATTCTTACATTGACATGATGAACTGGATATCAATTAGATAATTTGATGTTTCTCCGGACGACCTTATATTTACGAAGTGTTTTTACTCCATTAACGAGAAAATGTGTAGTTAGCAAGTCATTAGCTAGATAAACACTGTGTGAATGTAATATATTTTTATAGATCAAAGTGATACACATATTCAAATATTTGAATTGTTTTATTTGCAAATTTTTTGTCGTTAAAACCATCACCCAGACATCCTGATTAGGTATGATTTTTTTTTCTTAGTTTTAACACTGTCAAGGGATGCAAACTCTCAAACGTTGTATAGATGAGAAAACAAAAAAAAAATTAATGAAATGCAATTAATTAAACCCAAAATGAAAATAAAAAAACACAGTTAATAACAACAACAATAATAATAATATTAATTAATAGATGGTGTTTGAGTGCTGTAAATTAAGTTATTAGTAATTGGAGAATTTGCATTGTCATCAATAAACACTTTTACGATTTGAAATTGTGATTATCTGTGGTGACCGCGCGTCAAATGTCAAATACTCGAAGAGCTAAAATTTATTACGATTTAAATGGTAAAAGTGTTTGTGAACGCGCCGTGGAAAAGTCTAGAAAACCGAATCGTTGTATTCGAACCAAATTAATATAAACGATATTAACAACATTTGTAATTGATGTAGAATGGATTCAATATATTGAGCATAAAACGGATATAAACTTGTTGTGGAGTTAAGTTTAAACGCCAATTAAATAATTAGCACATTTAACCATAAGGGGTTGTGCCAAAACGAAATTAGTTTACGAGACGGTCTGCTCTGTTGAGACAAATGGCTACTGTCTTATCTGTCATCCTCTCCTAACATATCGACGCTTGAAAGGCAAACGTGACTAAGCGACTTTTTTTTTTTTTTTTGACTAAGCGACAATGCGCCAACTTTACAGTAGACTAATTTAAAGTTGAAATACCTGAAAACAAAATTTATTTTAACGAATCTAGCTGTAGTAGAATCTAGCTAATAGCTGTAGGATTTAAATGATTTTAATAGACCTAGAAATATATTTTTTTGCGCATCGAATATGGTTATTGCCTATCATTTATGTACAAAGCAGTTATTGTCGCTTAGTCACGTTTGCCTTTCAAGCGTCGATATGCTTCACAGATTTTGCCGCTCCGGTAACGGCTTAGCACCAGATGGGCCGCGAGCTCGTCGATCGAACAACTACAACTACATTCTACATCAACCACAACACGACAACAAATAATTTGATCACATACCGTCACGAAGTTCGGTGACGCCCGACGTTGTGGTCTGCGTTTGCTTCGTATAGATCACCGTCTCCTTGGGCGGTATGTCCGTGGACTGCACGAAGACTACTTGTAATTCTTGAGGTTGCTTCTTTGGACCGCTGGCGGGATTCAGGAATAGAGATATATGTAAATAACTGATAAACACTATGCCTTTTTAATACGCTTTTATTAGCTTCAGACGTATGTATGTAACGGAATCTTTGAACATGATTTTGACCCCCTTCAAAACATTGGATTAACTGGAATTTTGGTATACTTATTAAGGACCGATGAAAATTTAATATAAAAAAAAATTTAGATTAACTAAAAAATAGAAAATAAATTTTAATAACTTTGAATTAAAAATAGTGCAGGAAAAAATGATTTTATTATAAAAAAAGCGTGGGGTGCATGATATCAATAGTTATAAATATTTTATGAACAGATATGAGTAGAAGGGTTGTTTTGATAATATCCTGAAAAGCTTAGTTTTTTTAAACTATTATTTATTTTAAAGTTTAACAACGCCTAATCGTTATGACTCATCAATATGAAATGCCACAATATTGCTTATATTGTTCTTGTTTAGACATCACTGACCATGACAACTCGTAAAAAACTCAGTCAGTTTTCAAATAAACATGTTCAGCTCATCACTGGTGATTGTCGAACAAAAATTATGATAATACTAATAATCATTTACTCGAAATCGTGGTGGCCTAAAGGTTGAGATCGTTAAGTTCGTATCTTGCGATGCAACGGTGTTCGATTCCCGCAGGTACCAATCTTTCTAATGATATACGTACTTAACAAATGTTCATGAGTATCTTTCGCGGTGAAGTTATTGTGTAATAAAAATCAAACCTGCAAAAATTTTCTAATTTGCGCAATTCCTGGTGATACCTTGCCTACCATTCTACCCATTTCTGCCGTGAAGCACTAATGTGTTTCAGTTTGAAGGGTGGGGCAGCTACTGTGCTATAAACTCAAGCCTCAGGGTAGGTGGCGATATTTATTTTGTTGTTCATATCTATGGGATCCGGTTTGCATTTAACACCCGGTGATCTGTGAGTTCTTCAACCTACCTAAGCAATAAAAAACATTTCTTGAAAGAATAAAAAAAATTCTTCAGCTCAGAACTTATATAAAAAACTAACCCTTGCAATTGTAGGCTGGCTTTATCTGTATGCGGTAAACTGGCATCTGGAGAGGCTGTCTGAGGTGGAGACAGTGAAGTCATTGATGATAAAGAAGAGAGGACATCCTTAACTGGAGCCACTCCAAGCGAGGACAGCATCTCGTCAATGTCACGACGACTGTCCAGGCTAGATGTGGCCGATGCCCGTTGCTACAAAAATATTTATTTGTTTAGTCACATCTGTGGGATCAGCAAATTTAATCTAATTTAACCAGGATATAAGCATGTAAATTTTTATTCTGGCTAAATGGATAAATAAATCCACCTGGTCCTTAATTGGTTAGCAGAGACCAGAGACATCACATAATGAACAATCTTATTCAGTTTGATACAAGAGGTTGAAATAGGCACAATGGCGGTATCTATGTCATCCTCTCGATCTTAACTATCAATTATGATGAAATTTTCAATGACAATTCAATAAATTTGTACAAGAATCCGGTCGTATCTCATTTGCACTTTTCTTTTTTTTCCTACTTTGCTGAGAGCCTTGAGAGGCTATTTCAGCGTAACCTTAACTAGTAGGTGAGCTCACGGGGCTCAAACCTGACGACGTTGCTAACACGAACCCTAGCAAGAGCCGTGCTTCGCAGAATCTACCACCAGATCGGAAACGCGACCCACTGAGAAGATCCGGCGAGAAACTCAATGGACTGTGTCTGAGGGTTAATTTACTCGTCGAGCCTTTCGTTGCGAGCGATGGGACCATTTGAGCACCATATTAAGCTCCTATAGCAAATAGATGCCTCCTAGATTTAGTTTGTTGAATAATGTTATTACTGACCAGTGCTTCTTCAGCATCTTTCTGTTCTTTTTCTCTGCGGCGCCGATCTTTATCCTCTCTTATGGCGCGGAGCTTCGCCTTTTTTCGCTCCAACTCAGCCTTCCGATCTGACATGCTCAACGTCTTGGTAACTGCAAAACATAAAATTCAGATATCTTAATGGGGTTACAAAATATTTGAGTACTTTTGTCTGAAAATTTTTAAGTAAATTAAAATAGCAATGAAGAATCTTAATATTATTTTATAGAACTAAATGATCAATTCTGAATAAGTTTATGTAACTCAATGCTATTTTGCCATTATAACAATAAATACAATGGCTTGTTGGTTATTCATGGAGTAATTCAACTAAAAACGAAATATAGAGTGAGGCATTATTTGATGAATGACACTTCTCACATTCACTTATTTTTAACTTAAGTTCTCAAAGAAATTGAAATAATTAGTAAGTTTGACCAATAACACATTGTGAGATTACCACTTCCGTGCTGGATGTGAATGCCAAGATGAAGATTGTGGTTGTAGCAGACAAAAACAAATATAATGTTTTGACAACCACAAGGTGTTATTTTTCTCTTGTTTTTTTTATTTTATTGCTTAGATGGGTGAATGAGCTCACAGCCCACCTGGTGTTTAGTGGTTACTGGAACCCATTGACATCTATAACGTAAACGCGCCACCCACCTTGTGATATAAGCTCTAAAGTCTCAAGTATAGTTACAACAGCTGCCCCACCCTTCAAACCAAAACGCATTACTGCTTCACGGCAGAAATAGGCAGGGTGGTGGTACCTACCTGCGCAGACTCACAATAGGTCCTACCACCAGTAAAGTGTCCTAAATACATTTTCTATAAAAAAGATTGCAATAATCAATCTGCCCAGTGATCAAACTCAAACTCATAATAGAAACAGTCCCACTAGACTAAGCTGAAGCTATATACTAATATATATAACAATACTGAAGTAATACAACAATAAACAGACGTTTCACTGGTTGACCAGGTGTTAAATTATACAAAGTTTACGAAAATTAATAGAACAACTTAGGTGAATACACACTGGGCCTGATATTATTACTGAGAGAATTACCATTGAAATGCAATTATATTGTTGGAATGTTTCATTTGGTTTTTAAGAATACACAATGAAAATATTAGGAAAGTTAGGCAGGGAATTTAACATTGGTATTGGTAGATGATGAAGTCTCAGTTTATAATCAAAGCTTGTGTATAAATAGCTTATTTCTAAATGGTGTAATTAGGATTTTATTAAGTTAAAATTACAAAACAATTGAGTAAAAAATTTTTTTAAACCAACACTATTAAATTGTCAATGTAGTAGTTTTATACTTTATTATCTGTTTAAAACATACAATTTACATTTATATATTATATTGTTATTACAATTTAAATTACTTTATGTAACTTTATTGATTGATGAATGATGATGTCATAATTTGTATACAAGACCGTATTATACGCTGAGGCCGAAATTTTGACTTACCTTTTAATAAACACAGCCAAAATATCTACATCAGAGTCATATTAATAATTATACAGAATAAAAATGCCGACAGAACGTGGCAAACAGATGATGAGTAACGGGATGTTCAATGAATTCTAGTTCCGAAACGAAGATCTTAGCGAAAGGTTCATAAATTCGGTGTTTTTTAGAAGCTGTTCCTTTACTTATCAGTAATTCCGGATAATTGTAGAATAAATTTCAATAAATCAATACAAGAACATTGTAGATCCGATTGACTCAGTTGTTTTTTACTCTTTTTTTATTGTATCTGACATTTCGTTCAATGAAATGAACGTCAAATCTCCTTAATAGTGATCTATGCGTCAACTCGGTAGAATAAAATTTCAGAGACTTTTTGGCGGGAGCGCGAGAAGTGAAGTTGTGTGATTTGTTTATTTTGTCTATTTAGTATTTCTTCAGGTTTAAATGTGTAATAACGGTGGTTTATTAACTGTTTAACATCTGTGAAAGTGTACAACTGAAAAAATCACAGTAAATGACCACCAATTTACTGAGATTATATTTCATCCCATATCATCTCATCTCATTTGATTGAATTTCATCCCAGTTGATTAATGTCTCAAATTAATCATCTTCATATCATTTCATTTCACGCCATATTATCATTTTTCATAAAAATATGAATATAAATTAGAATAAGACATGACTTTAAGGTCTTAGTTACCAGGTCATAAAATCCCTTAAAAAATAAAATTTCACATAAATTTAAATAAAATTCATGGCAATTGGCGCATTGAGTCTTTTAGTGACCTTGAGGAATTAAATCCCTTCGGTAAGACTACTTCGGAATGCACCACGAACCTCCCCCAAGAAAACCTCAAGAGAACTAATTAATGTGTCTATTTTGGATCAACTGAAGATCAAGACAAGACTGTCTACATTCTGCCTTCGCAACGCACTCGCGTACTTCGGTCATATTGCTCGGAAAACGGCCGATAGCCTAGAAAGACTACTCAGGACAGGGAAGATCGAGGGAAAGAGACCGTGCGGGCGCAGTCCGACAAGGTGGTTCAATCAAATCTGCACCATACTAGGGATACCATTCCACGACGCCCTTCATGCGGCCAACTATCGGAGGCGCTGCACTGGAGTTGGAGGGACATTGCAAGAAATAAAATCCTGTCAAAATATGTTGGTACGACCCTCAGCAGTGAGAAAAGGACGGGAGGTGCCTTGAGAAGCCGTGAAGCATTATAATTATGCCATTGTTGCTAAGCAAATTTGTGACATCTTTAGTTAACATTATGCAAGTACTATATTAAATGAAATGAGTAAGCCAAGTTAATTTATCTGTAATTATAATACTGGGTAATATTTATTGACGGCTTACATAGGTACCGACTTTCAGAGTAAAATATCATGTTTTATTATTATATACAAATAGACAACAGAAATTAGATAATTTCAAATTTTTTTATGTTCTCCACCCATCACTTACAAGTTACAAGTGACACAGTTTGTTATCTAGTTTACTAAGTTGTGTATATATTTTTTTACGTGCTGAGATTGTTTTATTTTGACTAACTTCTAGAGCATTAGAATAAATTTTAATTCTTTTTATGTAGTCTGCTTATTAGCATAGTTTACTAAAATTTGGAGATTTAATTTATTTCAAAATCCATTGGTTTGCGTCAATAAATTTTGACCGTTACTTTAATTACAAATGTTTGTGGTAATCTTGATAAATGCTGGCAGCACTACAAGGGTGTTGCCCGGCGCCGGTTTACATGACAACTGCCCAACCAAACTGACAACGTTCGTAATGATCAAACACTTCTTTTAAGTTTAATTTTAATTTTCGAGTAATAAACTGCAGTATTGGTTTTCTACTACATTTAATATAATTATGAAATGATGACTGGATTTCAGTATTATTTATTTGTTTTGCTTTGTTATAGCATTACAAAATCCGGTGCAGGTTAGTGTGATAACCCGCTGATTTTTATTCAAAAACAGTTCAAGCGCAATGGGCTTATTTTATGCATCATCCGATCTTTGAATATTTAGAGCGATTGCTAAAACTCGTACACTTTTCACTCCACAACAAATTGTTTTAATGAAACTTGGTTTTCAATATCTTCTCATGATCAAATATATTTATTATTTTTCAGATTTCGTGCGTTATTATTACGATTACGAATGCAATGAGCCTTTGGTAGCTAACTCTAAACTATCGGCTACTTCAAGCTTACGTGATAGAGGACCCGAGAATGCTAAGCTATATGGTAAGAAATAAAAAAAATATCGATTTAATACTGGCTTTAACTTAAACATTGTATTAAATTTTTTGTGCTGCTTAATGTTAGACCTTAAAATCAGCTTAACTTAAAAAAGGCAAAAAGTACACCTGCAATCACTGTTTATATCACCTGATGAGTGTAATTATCAGTTGATGAGTAAAAATCGATTTTAAGTTCCCCTTAAATTGTTCTTTTACAAAATCCATCCCAAATACTAGTCATCATTTTGATTTCCTATTTGCAGGAGTGTCTTTTTCCAGTACTAGCTGGAAATGTTTTTTTTTTAAATAAGTACGGTTTAAGTAGAAGGGATGAAAAGCTATTTTGTTTATTTTAAGCTGTTACTATTTTGTTATATTTTAGTCAATGGTGCCTTAGATTTCAGAGTGTGATAAAGCTTTATAAAGTGTTATTTAAATGATTGTCAGTGAAATAAATGGAGTAGTATTGGAATCCTCTGTAATCATTTAGTGTACTTCAAATTAAAGAATATGCCTGTAATTTTTAATCACTCTTTAAAAATATCATGAAATAAAGTTTAGTAATTAAAAAGTTATTGTTAAGTAATTTGAAAAAAAAATGGTTTTCATCCCTTTATCAATTTTTGACTTACTTAATTTATTGTGAAATTGTTGTGTTCTTTTTACAATTTGAAAAGCTTTATGTTTTTGTGTTCGGAGCATTTTATAAAAGCTCATAAGGCTTTGTTTTCACATGTAGTCTTAATCATAATAAAATATGGTACAATTTTAATAAAAAACAGATTTATCACATATTTGACATAATATAACATGTTATATAAAATATACATCATAGAAGTTTTTAATGGGTCAGTTAAAATGGGTGGTCAATCAAATCTTTTACAAATAAATATATGATATATATAAAGTCTTAATTTTTTTCTTGTTACATAAATGGATGAAAGATTTCACAACCCACCTGATGTTCAATTATTACTGGATCCCATAGACACCACGATGAGAGTACTATGTGCCTTGAGACATGAGATAATGCCTCAATTGTATAGTGTAATAGATGTCAAACTTTTCAAATCAGAATGCATTACTGTTTTGTGGCAAATTGAATATTTCCAGGTATTTTTTTAATTATATAAGTAGCATCTTTGTGCTATTTATAGAACCATATAATGGTAGTAATACTAGTTTACAACAAATTGGCAGAGCAATATTAAATTGATTAGAGGCCACAAAAAATAGCTACAATATTTTATCACTTGTTGGCATATTGTTTGTTCTGCTTTACTTTATAAAGTTCATTAGATTACACAATCAATCATTTGAATGAATGTTTATTGCATGTTAAAAGTTTTTTTTCCAAGTGTTTTTTGATTATTTTGTAGTTATAACATGTTAAATGAACAATAAGATTAAATAAACAGAAAGGACCTGAAACCATATTTCGTTGGTCTGCAGGTCCTCAAAACTCTCTGTAATAGAACCCCAAATTATAAATATTGCAGAGTATTAACAAAAATGGCTAACAAAGGCAATGTGCGATGGGCATTTAATACACGTGAGTGGCAGCCAACGAAAGAAGAAATATTATTGGCTTCAAGTTATATACAAAATGAAGAAAAACAGAGGATATCCAGATTTGTCTTCCAGAACGATGCTAAATCGTCACTTATTGGAAGACTCATGTTAAGAAAGTATGTACAGACCTCAACATCGACTCCTTATGATGAGATAAAATTTGGTAGAGATGACCGTGGGAAACCGTTTTTGCTTAATCCTATTGATTTGAAGATAAGTTTCAATGTTTCTCACCAAGGAGACTTTGTGGTTCTAGCTGGATGCAAAGATTGGAATGTGGGAATTGACGTCATGAAAATTGAGCCACCTGTGAACAAGAATATCCCAGAGTTCTTTCGGATCATGGCCAGGCAGTTCTCACCACGAGAGTGGTCGACTATACGCAGTTTTTCAACTGAGTTAGAGCAAATTGCTTGTTTTTACCGTATATGGTGCTTAAAAGAAAGTTACGTAAAGAATGTGGGGTTTGGTATAACTGTTCCTTTGGATGAAATCAGTTTTCAACTGAAGACTTTACATTTAGAAATGGGCAAAATTGTTACTGATACTGTTCTCTATGAGAGGAATGCTTTGAAGGAGGATTGGATCTTTGAAGAGACATTGCTCGATGAGAAGCATGCTGTAGCTGTGTCTTTGCAAAAGAAAGATAATTCAACAGATGCTCCAGTATGCTATGAGGTTTTGTCTTATCAAGAGCTGGTTGAGGAAGCCAAGTCTCTGTGTAGTACTGATGAAACATTTAGTGATGAGTTTGTGAAGAAACAATTGAAGAATTTTTAATAATAGCGTGTATTTAGTCTATTTATGGGACATTTAGTTTTTAAATATTAATAGCATTTTATGGGGTCTGGTTATATTGTAATTTGTTGGGGTTTAAGCTTTTAAATGTGAGACTAGTAAATTATATATATTAAGAAAAAAAAAATTGTAATTGAAACTAACACCAAAATGAAACTAACCTTACAAGGAAGGATAGAACGATTTAAAATAAACTTTTGTACACAAGGTACAAACGCTTGGACTGCTTCGGAGAGTGATTTCGATCAGCAACTGATTGTTGACTTTGGCAGTGTTAAGAACATAACCAGGATCGCAGTACAAGGTCGGGCTCATTCCCAAGAGTTTGTCCAGGAATACCATATCAGCTATGGATCGAATGGCCTAGATTACGTACAGTATAAAGCTCCTGGTGGTGAAGTGAAGGTAAAAATATAAATTTTTCAGCAGAAAGGTGCTGGTATGCATGTTTTTGGTTTTGTAGATTCTGTAGATAATGCAGTAGATAGTCAAATAATGTTTCAATTGGTGTAAAACTGTCCCCAAACACTTCTTTCTAATGATAATAATATTTCAACATCTATCTTATAGCCCTTAAATGCAGAATAATATTACACAACGTTCAAATTAAATATGGTTGCAGCAGACTTGTTATTGATAAAAAAAAAACAATGTAATAGTTAAAAAAAAAAGTAATCATAATAAATTCACTGATGTAAATTTTTTATTGCATTCGGAAATTCATGCATTAAAGGGTTATTTTACTAAATACAATGTAAATATCACACTGTAAATAATTACACGGTTTGGTTACTAAATTAACTAACTGTAACGGTGAAGGGACATCGGCTTGGACGCCCTTCGAGAACTCGTACTACCAGCATCTGACCCTGGACTTCCACAAGCGCGTGGAACTGCGCGGTATTGCCACAAAGGGGAGGTACGCGACAGACGAATATGTCACGGAGTACATGCTTCAGTACTCTGACGACGGGGAGAGTTGGAAACTTGTGGCCAGGAGGGATGGGTACACGCAGGTATTGTATAACTATAGGTGTTTGGCTTGGCGCTTAGAAGTTGCAGGAGCCTATCAATGATATGGAATAGAAATTAATAGTTGTGACCGCAATTATGTACATAATATTTGATTGCGCAATTATTTTTTTTTTTATAGTAACCCAACTTTACTATGTTGTATTGGAGTAAAACATTATTTAATGCCTGTTTTTTATATTTAATAGTAGTCCATTGCATGGAAAGTATGATATACTTTAGATTTTTACTGGTGGTAGGACCTATTGTGTCCGCGCGGGTAGGTTCCATCCTGCCTATTTCTGCCGTGAAGCAGTAATAAGTTTCGGTTTGATGGGTGGGGCAGCCGTTGTAACTATTCTTGTGACTTTAGAACTTATATCTCAAGCATTTACGTTGTAGATGTCTATGGGCTCCAGTAACCACTTAACACCAGGTGGGCTGTGAGCTCGTCCATCGAAGCAATAAATAAATAAAAATACTTTAAGATCAGCACTCTATATCGCTTGCTTTCTCCAAACTCTACTGTTTGTTGCTAGGTATAACTTTATGAGCAATGAAATTTTTGGCGTCGTTATGCTTTCATTAAAAAAAAAAAACTAAATAATAATGAATATTGTATATAATTGTCACGGCGTGTAGTAAGTAGTACTACACTAGTACAATAAAATATCTACTTGACATTCATTAAATTATATAAATAAAATTCTATTGAAATAAAATATCTATTTGACATTTATTCGTTGATGTACGTATTCATAGATTACAAGGATAAACTCCAATGGCGCATCGGAGCTGACATGTATACATTTTATTTTAAACAACAATAAATCTATTTTTTTTTTTTTTTTTTTTTTATCTTTGCGCTTAGACTAACATTAATATAGAACCGCGTATCGAAAGGCGAAAGGCTATTTGGTTTAAGCGACATTTCGGTTAATACGCCCCATTTATCTTTGTAATTGCGTGTAATTTGATTTTAGTATGAACAATTTGATGTTTTCAATTGAACATCAATTATGTTTACCACATTTAAATAGCCTTTTTTAAACTTTGAACTGTAAATGGCACCTCTGTAAAGTTACAAATATGTCGTTTAAACCATAACGGTCTTACACCCGTCGATATGATCTGATTGGTATGATGGACATATATCGAGGTATCATACTTCACACAATCAACTGGCTTACATGTCGGTGGTCTGGCAAACGATTTATGTAGAATAATAAAGCAGGCAGCAGCGTGATAGCTAAAAAATAAGACTATATTTTAATGTAGTAAACTATTGTTGGGTCAATCTACGGCACCTCTGGTATATGCATGCATTTAAATTATTTTGTTAGCAATTATCATGCTTTTATCTATCTCTACTATGTGCGGAATATTTGGTTTTCTAGAATTTTCTTCAACACATCCACATTTCTGATACCTACACACAGTTATATTGCTTGTGGCAGTGGCAGAGGGGCTAATATTTTGAGTAAATTATGTTTAGGTTTGGACAGGGATGATGAACAAAATTAAGTACATGATTGAATAGAAAATCTGGTGTTTGTTGTACAATTGACATACAGGTCTAAACCACAATAAATGTTTTTCATTATCTTTAAATGACTTACTTGAGCATTCGATGACCAGAGTCCTTTTAGACATCCGGTATGGCACTGTCGTTATTTGAGATTATTGTGGTAGGTACTTGCCTTGCTGATGCTCTCCATTCCTTGTTGTACATTTAAAATTGAAACTTCGTATTTGTGCTTCAGTTTGATGATGGCATTCTCATTGTGATGTATATAAACGCCGGCAATCGCATAACATCAAGTGGAACGTATGGTGATTAATTCATCGAAGCAATATAAAAACAATAAACAAAAAACATACGATCGAAATCTTAACTCTGAACTGCAATGGAATATACGATTTTTCAAATTGGAATGGATTCGCAGTATAATTCGTGTTTAGCTTGGTTTATGCTAAGAGCGCATAATATTTATACCACCAGCTGATCTGTGTCCCCAAGGATACGTTTCGGACTTAGAGTAGACGTCAGAAACCCTGCCCGCGCCCGTGCCTCTGAAGCAAAGCTAACTTTGCTTTGTGAAAATGAAAGCGAGCCCCACGGTCATGGTTTTACATATTGCGTTGCTCTGCCGCGGACAGAACCGGTCACTGTCCTCGTCGAACCCGTCGCTTACGACGAAGAGATCGACGAGCGAATGAACCCATAGACACAGCCCACTGAGTTTCTCGCCGGATCTTCTCAGTGGGTCGCGTTTCCGATCCGGTGGTAGATTCTGCGAAGCACTGCTCTTGCTAGGGCCAGTGTTAGCAACACTCCGGTTTGAGCCCCGTGAGCTCACCTACATGTGAGGGCGAAGCTGAAATAGCCTCTCAAGGCTATCAGCATAGGTAAGTAACAAAAAAGCGGACGGAATACATACCGCCCACAGCAGCAGAATGGGGCAAGTGGGACGAGAGGGAGTACCGCCCACTTAAACTGCTGCCGTGCTAACTACGTGCTAAGCGGATCGATTTCGATATGTCCTAGGCGCTGTAGTAGAAAGGTAGACGCAGATGCCGACTGCTCTGCGTAGACTAGGCGTGCACACCTTAGCAGCAGTGGAACCGCAGCTTTATACCACGATCATTTTTAATTATGGGTATTCAAAGGGAATTTGTTCAACAGATGTTTCACGGGAACCAAGACGGTGACACAGTGCGAAAAAACGAATTCGAAGTGCCTATAATAGCTCAATATTTGCGTATTAACCCGATGAGATGGCGGGACAAAATATCTATGAGAGTGGAAGTTTATGGCTGCGATTACGGTGAGTTTCCAGTTTTGTGAGAGTCCAGTATTGTTCTTCCAACGGTACCTAGAATGTGATACTCAGACTTAGACATTCTCCGTTATATGACAATGAAGGAAGATACTATGCAACTGCTGCTACTAGATTATCTGCAGGGCTTTTCAGAGAACATTTCTGTCATGTTCCCCTACCCGGCTCTATTAAGAAACTTATTAACGCCCTACTTTTTTAACCGTTTTAGTGCTGAGCTTATTTTCACATATTTTGTAGAAATTGCTAGAGGATTTTGAGAAAAAGTACCTACCTTATTAAAAACATTGACTAAAAAAGAATACAAAAATCAATGCTAAACTTACAGAACAATAATTTTAAATGGTCGTTGTAAATATTATTCAATTATTAAAAACTTTATACGTGTGTGCACTTAGATACGTCTGTGCAGGTCGATTCCTAATACCTTTTATTTATTTATTTTTATTGCATAGATGGGTGACTGACTATCTGACATATTGCATAGACGAGCTTAGAGCTCACCTGGTGTTGAGTGGTTACCGGAGCCCATAGACATCTACAACGTAAGTGCCGCCACCCACCTTGAAATATGAGTTCTAAGATCTCAGTATAGTTACAACGGCTGACCCGCCCTTCAAATCGAAATGCATTATTGCTTCACGGCAGAAACAGGCAGGGCGGTGGTACCTTATCGTGCGGACTCACAAGACGTCCATCACCATTGTTAATATATCACCACCAGCGTACCTATAATCAAATTTCGCAATAGTTGATATTCTGACGCTCCGCACTTTATAAACACTCATAGAGAGTCGATTTATCGACGGTTCGCGCTCAAAGAGTTAAGCTAGCAGACCAGCCCCCGGCTCGACAGTGGCCTTGAGCCGAGTTTAATGTATTTATTATTGTTCCATTTTCAAAACACCAGTCGCCGACACTCTGTACTTCAACGGGTCGTCGTTAATAAAAATGGACCTGCTCCGGGACCCGATATCGGCGTCCCGGGAAGTGATCCGGTTCCGGCTGAAGACGAGCACGGCGTCGGGCGCGCTGCTGTACTCGCGCGGCACGCAGGGCGACTACCTGGCGCTGCAGCTCAGGGACAACCGGCTCGTGCTCAACATTGATTTGGGTAACTTGTGCTCTACGTCTAAAGGCTTCGTCAAACAGAACGCGTAATTAGCGCGCGTCAGAGCGCTACACTAACGGCGCGCTATGACGCCGAGTGTGACGCCGTGTTGTACTACTATGGTAACAAACCGTCAAACAGAGCCCCAGCGCTATAAGTACGCAACGCTGTGTCGCGGCGTCAGGACGCTTTGATGTCAGGCGTTGTCATTTTTTACAAATTTTATTTTAGCGCCCAAGTGAATGTGCATTAAAATACTGGATAATGCCCGAAAAATTGGTAGAAATATTTAGAAAATACCCATGCTTATACAATGCCACATCTGAATCACTAGACATCTTAATACTTTTAAATTTTCACACTGCTATCGAAAGGCACTATGATTTTTCGAATGCGTTGCGTCAAGGAGCGTTGCACTCATCTAGTTAATTTGTGTGGCATGAAAAGAGCGCGAAGTTAAAACGCAACGCCAAGTAAGTACGCGTTCTGTTTGACGAAGCTTAAGGTTTTTTTTGGAACGAAGTTTTGGAATGAAATTCCTTATGGTACGATGCGGAGGGGTGGGTACCCTAACCGGGAAAAAACGTCCGTAACGTAAGATTTTTATTAGTAATGCGCACAGTGTACGACTTTAACTTTGTAATAACGTACAAAAAATAACATATTTTTTTATCATTCATTGATCACGATCTCAGAGTGTTCGTTTGCGCAATACACTAACTCTTATGCAAACAACCGCGAATGAAGTGTACCACAATAAGTTCGCACGTTACCGAATGACCGTGGGTTGTTGCGAAACCTCCAGTTTTATTTTCTTTATACCTCGAATAGAACTTAAAAATTAATATTTTTATAATAAGGAACTTCGTTCCTAACCGGTGTCCCACTACACCACACATCTTTTTTTTATTGCGTAGATGGGTGGACGAGCTCACAGCTCACCTGGTGTTACTGGAGTAAATGCGCCACCCACCTTGAGATATAAGTTCTAAGCTCTAGTATAGTTACAACGGCTACCCCACCCTTCAAACCGAAACGCATGACTGCTTCACGGCAGAAATAGGTGGGGTGATGCGTGCGAACTCACAAGAGGTCCTACCACCAGTAAAATATATAAGGACGCCGACGGCTCACCTGCTTTCAAATTGTAACCGATCCTACAAGCATCTGAAAACTGTCCCAACCTTCACAGTGGAGCGAATGATCACTTCGTGACAGAAACAGGCAAGATGGTAACTGTTCTCTCTGCTAATTTTCTTACTGGGATCGGGTAAATTAAGTTGATAAGAAAGTTTTAACTATGAATGTAGGTAGGTAGGTTGACCTGAGAAGAAATGGATGGATTGCGTGAAAGACTATATGTGTATGATAAGTGAGCGAAGAAATTGTATATGATAGAGGAGTATATATATATCTATATAAAATATGTTGCGTCGTCCCCAGGTGACTAGTAGAAAGGCAGGGGTATGATGTGATTCGATAAATTAATTGAATTTCGTGTGCCCCCTCAAATTGGTATTGATGAGGAGCGGCATCACGCCAGGGGTCGCAGGTTCGAGACGGGGTGTGTGGACTAATGATCACAGACTTGGCTTGTAATGGCTTTAAAATACTTATCCATAACACACCAGTCTTTTACAGTATTAGGGAGGAAATAGAGGTTCAATAATTGAAAACATGAATGGACGAAAGGGAAATGAAACAATTTGTTAATTTTGAGAAAACAGGTTACAAACTTGTGTTACTTGTACTTTTTCTTCGTACATAACACCTTTATCACATGCAATTTCTTAAAATAGCCTTTAAACTCTGAGTTTTAAAGTCTAATATGGTTTATAGGCACATAACACCTTCATTCAATAAAAAACTCAAAAATCTTAAAAATGGTACTCTTAATCCCTTCCTCCGCTCATCATGTCTTCAATTGTATATATTTATTTGTACCCAGGGTCCGGCATGTCTACGTCTCTGTCTGTGGGCAGTCTTCTGGACGACAACATTTGGCACGACGTAGTCATATCTAGGAACAGAAGGGACATCATCTTCTCTGTGGACCGAGTTATAGTGCAGGAGAGGATCAAGGGAGAATTCTCCAGACTCAACTTGAACAGAGCTGTGAGTACTGTAGGATTGTGAACTAGTGTAGTTTGCGACAAAGGAAACAGCCTCTTTTCAGATGTTAGTATAACAAAAACTAACAGTTGAGATTAAGTTTTTTTACAATGTCAACCATCATTCTTTTTTTATCAAAATATTATTTATTTTTGTTATTTTTATTCGTCTAAAATGCTTGTAGTTTATATTTACAATAACTTTTTGGAAGAACTCTTTAAGGCATGTTTGGAAACTTTTCTCCATTATCCAGAAAAAATTGTGTATGTGTGTGTTTCATGTATACTAATATTGAGTACATTATAATTGAGAGCATTCAATAATAGGTAATAAATACCATATAATATTGTCTGCTAGTCTAACAAATGATGTCTAATCTGTTAGAGCATTGTAAACGAAGAAATTACTACAGTGTCAGTTTTAAAATATTACAAATTAATTAATGTTGTATTACCCTGTTACAGCTGTACATAGGGGGCGTACCGAATTTACAAGAAGGTCTAGTTGTGAACCAGAATTTCACAGGCTGCATAGAGAACATGTACCTCAACGCGACCAACGTTATACAAGATTTGAAAAAGGGCTATGAGAGTGGCGAACCATTTAAGTTCCAGAAACTGAACACCCTGTACGCGTGTCCGGTGAGTAGCAGCGACCACAGTGTCCTAATGTCACTAAAAAAAATGTATTCTTTTTTTTCGTACCTGTGCTGATAGCCGTGAGAGGCTACTTCAGCTTCTTCTTGACGTGTACGTGAGTGAGCTCACGGGGCTCAAACCGGAGTGTTGCTAACACTGGCCCTAGCAAGAGCAGTGCTTCGCAGAATCTACCACCGGATCGGAAACATGATCCACTGAGAAGATCCGGCGAGAAACCCAGTGGGCTGTGTCTATGAATTACTTTACTCGTCGAGCCCTTCATGCAAGCGACAGGTTCGGCGAGGACGGTGACCGGTGTTATATTCAATTAACATGTAAAGCACAGATAATTTAATCTTCTATTTCTGTCCGTTTTCCTTACTTCGCTGTGTCTGTGTAGGAACCCCCCGTAGTGCCGGTGACGTTCCTGAAGGAAGGCTCGTACGCCAAGCTGCGCGGGTACTCCGGCGGCAGCGCGCTCAACGTGTCGCTGGAGTTCAGGACCTACGAGCTGCAGGGGCTGCTCGTGTACCACCGGTTCAACACCGAGGGATATGTTAAGGTACCTACCTGCTTCTAGGACAGAAATATGTTTAGAATTTTACTAGTTAATTTTACCAGGTGCGTGTCGGTGACGCGATCAGAATGAAAAAAATGAAATAAAGTGAAAAAACACGAGTGTAGTTTTGTCTCGGTCTCTCGAAAGCGATGCCATTGTATATATTATACATTTATGTACATATTACTATCGTACGAACCTGAATACATGACAATGGTGTAAAACAACTGAGATGCGGACGCGGAGACAAGATGAAATACTATTGTATATTCACGTTACAGCTTGTAGCCGGGTTTGTTAATATTTAGTTATTTGTCCATCAGGTATATCTTGAAGATGGTAAAGTGAAAGTAGAGTTGGAGACGGCCGGATCTCCTCGCGTGAAGCTGGACAACTACGTGGAGCTGTGGAACGACGGTCGCTGGCACTCGCTGATGCTGACCCTGGCCCCGGACTCGCTGGTGCTGTCCATGGACTCCAGAGCTGTGCACACGTCAAAGAGACTGCGATTTCTTACCGGCAGCTATTATTTTATAGCTGGTGAGTGTCAGATTCAATGTGTTCCGGCTTGAGGCCGTCGCAGATACTTGCAGTCGAAGCGCTCCACGTGGGTAGCCATGGTTACGTCATGCTTGTATCGTTCGGATAGTTGTGTCCAGGAATTGAACAAAATGATAAAATTATATTTTTATACTTTTATTATGTACTGCTTTTTACAATATATTATTCGATTCACAATAAGTCTGCGGCTTATCGCTTATGTTGTTGGTGTTGTGCACGCGTCTCTGTCGCGTTTGCCTTCACGTTTTGTTCCGGGTCACCCCGCACTCCGCTTCCGCGTGCCCTCCTCGTTTGGGTATCGTCACCGACAGTTGGGTTTGTAGTTATAAGTTGTATAGTACACAGCAACCAGCAGACTGGCAAACATTAACATAGTATCGTTTCTTCAGGAGGCAAAGCCCCACCGCGCGGCTTCATCGGTTGCATGCGCAAGATTTCCGTGGACGGGAACTACCGCCTGCCGACGGACTGGAAGAAGGAGGACTACTGCTGCCCCAACGAGCTCGTGTTCGACGCCTGCCAGATGATCGACAGGTGAGTATCTGAGGCCGCCCCGCGCTGTGTTGATGGAGCCTCACCCTCACCCTTACCCTCGCCCGGCCCGCAGGTGCAGCCCCAACCCCTGCGAGCACGGCGGCCGCTGCGCGCAGACCGCCGACGAGTTCTCCTGCAACTGCCGCGACACGGGCTACGCCGGCGCCGTGTGCCACACGTGTGAGTACTGACGCTTCGACGATATTTAAAGTAAAGGTATTATCCTGAGAATAACCCATTTCGAGAAGGCGGCACGACATGAGAATCTCCTAGTCGTGGCCTCTGGAAACTACATACCCGATCCTGTAGATCGAATGGTAAACAGTCGACGTCGCCCAAAGCACGTCATTACGGATCCCTCTGATCCATTAACGGTGCTTTTAGGCACCACAAGCACCGGTCACCGTCCTCGTCGAACCCGTCGCTTGCGACGAAGGGCTCGACGAGCGAGTTAACTGATAGACACAGCCCGCTGAGTTTCTCGCCGGATCTTCTCAGTGGGTCGCGTTTTCGATCCGGTGGTAGATTCTGCGAAGCATTGCTCTTGCTAGGATCAGTGTTAGCAACACTCCGGTTTGAGCCCCGTGAGCTCACCTACACACGTTAGGGCGAAGCTGAAATAGCCTCTCAAGGCTATCAGCATAGGTAGGGAAAAAAAGAGAATAAATTTTTAATGAGGACATGTAAGGACAACAGGTTTGGTTAACGAGGAGTAGCAGTAGTTCTTCGATGTAAATGAGAATGTCCGCAGCGGTGCACCCGCTGTCGTGCCAGGCGTACCACAGCGTGTCGGCGGCCCGGCGCTCCGCCAGCGTGCACATCGACGTGGACGGCTCCGGCCCGCTGCCGCCCTTCCCCGTCACCTGCGAGTTCTACTGTGAGTACGCGCCCTCGCCCCCCAACCCGCCGCCCCCGCCCCCGCCCCCGCCCCCGCCCCCGCCCCCGCCCCCGCCCCCGCCCGCAGTAACCGCACCGTCGCTTGCAGCGGACGGCCGCGTGATAACGTCGGTGAAGCACTCGGTGTCGCAGAGCACGGTGGTGGACGGCTACCAGGAGGCGGGCAGCTTCCGGCAGGACGTCATCTACGACGCCAACCGGGCGCAGCTCGAGGCCCTGCTCAACAGATCTGTGTCCTGCTCGCAGCGACTGGACTACTGGTGCAGGCACTCGAGGCTTATGAACTCGCCTAGTGAGTTCCCTTTTAATATAAATAGATCAATAATGAATTAATAGTGAAAACAGAAACATGCGTTGTGAGCGGTGTTCGGTAAGACAAATGTGATAGTACTAGATAAGTAGTAGCCAATAATTACAAGGAAATATTAATTAAACACTTAAAAAAAAATACATGTGTTTGTACTCATATATTAGGCCAAAGTTATAAAACAATTTGTGTCGTCATCAGCCCTTGATGTGTGTCCAAATTTTCAAGTTAACAGGATGACTAAAGTCTGTAAACACACAGACTGTTAGAGGTCAAGCTTAGAAAAGCGCAGTCAAAATTGTATAATCTTTGTAGTCTTGTATATACTCTATGTCAGTCTATGGAGTATTTGTAAAAAAATGTCATTTAAAAAAAGAACAAAATTCCTTGTATCTTCATTTGTGCGATTCTCTATTTAAACTGATAAAGAAACGAAAGGAAGGAGTCTGTTCAGCAGGGGCTCGCTGGCATCGGATTGTATTGTGTTCACGAGTATTTTTACTGATTTTGTACTTTTTACTCTGTCTATTTGTGTCGCCAACCAGCGCGTAATGAACCTGTTATTACCAACCAATACGGGCCGTCCCGATCCTGCGGACAGAATGGAAAGCAGTCGACGTCGCCCCAAACACGTCATTGCGGATCCTCCCGATCCACTAACGGTGCTTTTAGGTACCTCAAGCACTGGTCACCGTTCTCGTCGAACCCGTCGCTTGCGACGAAGGGCTCGACGAGTAAATTAACCCTTAGACACAGCCTACTGAGTTTCTCACCGGATCTTCTCAGTGGGTCGCGTTTCCGATTCGGTGGTAGATTCAGCGAAGCACGGCTCTTGCTAGGGCTCGTGTTAGCAACGTCATCAGGTTTGAACCCCGTGAGCTCACCTACTAGTTAAGGCGACGCTGATATAGCCTCTCAAGGTTATCAGATTAGGTAGGAAAAAAAAACAAAAAACCAACACAGGAAAATTTTGATTTATATACAAATATTTAAATACAAAGACACGAAATTGTCAAATTTCACTTAGAATAAGAAGCGAAGAAACAATCCTGTCAGCGATTAGTTCGCGGACCAAGTGAAGGCGTAGGAGTAAGTGTGTGTGTCTGTGTGTGCAGGCGAGGAGTCCAACTTCCAGCCGTTCGCGTGGTGGGTGTCCCGCTCCGGCCAGCGCATGGACTACTGGGCCGGCGCCACGCCCGGCTCGCGCATGTGCGCCTGCGGCCTGCTGGGCTCCTGTCTCGACAACACCAAGTGGTGCAACTGCGACGCAGAGTACGCGCAGCTGCGTCCCGAGGGTGAGCCCCCCCCGCCGCGCTACCCCCACCCCGCACGAGCCGCCACTCACCCCCGCCCCCGCCCCCGCAGAGTTCCAGTCGGACGGCGGCGACATCACGGAGAAGGAGTTCCTGCCGGTGAAGCAGCTGCGCTTCGGCGACACCGGCAGCCACCTCGACGAGAAGGAGGGCCGCTACACGCTCGGGCCACTGCTGTGCGAGGGGGACGGTGAGCGCCAACACTCCGCCCCTAAACACATCATTTAGAATTACCGCTTTTTGACAAAAATAAGAGACTCTTTACCAACATTACAATAATCACGATTGACTTCCACGGTGAAGGAATAACATCGTGTAATAAAAATAAAATCCGCAAAATTATAATTTTCGTAATTACTGGTGGTAGGACCTCTTGTGAGTCCGCGCGGGTAGGTACCACCACCATGCATATTTCTGCCGTGAAGCAGTAATGCGTTTAGGTTTGAAGGGCGAGGCAGCCGTTGTAACTATACTTGAGACCTTAGAACTTATATCTCAACGTGGATGGCGCATTACGTTGTAGATGTCTACAGTCTCCAGTAACCATTAAACACCAAGTGGCATATGAAATCGTCCAACCAAAAAAAAAAAAAATTAAAACTATTTATACCTTCAATATATTATTTCCAGCATATAAATTACTTCACAACTGTAGTCGTCCATGACCAGAAACAACATTTTTTTTGTAAAGATTGATTGATTTAGTTCATATTATCGTTCTGGCGGTGGACCCTGGAGAGCCAAAACTTCCTCGGTAGAAGCTGAGTCCGTTGTCATTACAGATTTGTTCAACAACGCGATCACGTTCCGCGTGGCCGACGCCATCATCCTGCTGCCGACGTTCGACCTGGGGCACAGTGGCGACATCTACTTCGAGTTCAAGACGACCAAGGAGAATGCTGTTTTGCTGCATTCCAAGGTAAAATGCACTTTTGTTGAGTTTTTGAAGTGAAACTTCTAATCCGACTTACAACAAGGTTGCGTTAAACGTTTAGCGCTACCATGGAATAGAAAGAGACAGAGCGAGAGTGAATGCGCGGCACTCGAATGCACGCGCGTAGTATACCTGTTGCAGGTCAGCGCGAGCGTTAGCAACGAGTAGCTCCAATATTTTAATGAAGTATTTAAAAAAATATATATACAAGCCGTACTCGCCCGTTTCGCTGGGCATTTAAAATTAACATTATTATTTATTGTCATTATTATTAGGGAGTCCAACACTCATATAAATATTAGCCTATCCATTAAGTAAATGTATTTTCTACATGTATACCAAGTTTCAAGTCGATCGGATGCACGGTTCAGTAGTTATAACGGAACATCCGTAAAAACCACTGTAGATTTATATATTAGTATAGATATTTATTTTTCTATCTATAATTAAAAAAAATTTATAATATAAATGTTGAGGATGTCGCATCTTTTATAAACAGCATGAATTAACATTCTTTTATAAACAGAAAAATGAAGCAAACCACAATATCGAAAAAGAAGTTTCACTTCATTCACGTGTACCAAGTTAAACGCGCACCATTTTTTTTAAAGATGCGTTTTCTTTTAATTTCCTATCTTTCTGAATGTAAATGGAGTTAGAGTGCGATTCAATTTTTAATAACAAGACTTCCCTTCCCCAGGGCCCGCAAGACTACATAAAGCTGTCAATAATCGGAGGGGATCAACTGCAGCTGCAGCTGCAAGTGGGTGACACGCCTCTAGGGGTGTCGGTGGAGACCAGCAACCGTCTGGCTGACAACCAGTGGCACTCCGTGTCCATCGAAAGGAATAGGTATGATCATAAACGAACTTTCAATCACAACGTATAATCTGTGCTCTTGTCACTTGTATAAAATAAACTTAAAACAAACAAAAGGAATCCGTCCGACGGGCGACACATCAAATGAAAAATAAAATTGTTTTTTTTATTTAATTCCGAGCATTTTCACGTTTATCTACCTTTTAAACGTTCTCTGGACTTCCACAAATAATTCAAGACCAAAATTAGCCAAATCGGTCCAGCCGTCGTTCTCGAGTTTTAGCGAGACTAACGAACAGTAATTCATTTATATAGATTACATATTACATTTTAATGATTACATATTACAGATTACATATTAATGATTTGAAATAGTTATAAAGATGTATGTTCTGCTGGCACAGGAAGGAGGCCAGGCTGGTGGTCGATGGAGCCTTGAAGAACGAGATCCGCACTGTGGGCGGCACGGCGCGCGCCCTGCAGCTGTCCACGGGCCTCGCGCTGGGCGCCGCGCTGGACCGCAGCGACGGGCTGGTGGGCTGCCTGCGCGCCCTGCTGCTCAACGGCAGGCCCGTGCACCTGGCGCCGCTCGCCCGCACCGGTACCCGCACACCCGCCCCCCCACGCGACGTGCGAGCGAGCGCCGCCAAGTGCTAACGCCATCCCGACCTTATGTCCAGGGCTGTACGGCATATCCGAGGGCTGCGTCGGCAAGTGCTCGTCGTCGCCGTGCCTCAACAACGGCACGTGCATCGAGGGCTTCGACTCGTACACGTGCGACTGTCGCTGGACCGCCTTCAAGGGCCCCATCTGTGCGGACGGTCAGCTATTACTTACTTACCATAAAAATGACATTGAATTTTATTGTAAGATATTAGTGAAACGAGAAATTTCATATAAAATGTATTATTGGCTTGTTGTATTTTCGAATGTCGTCGTTAATTCGATAATTCATGTCCTATATCATTTAGAAATCGGCGTAAATCTCCGACCGAACTCGTTGATCAAGTACGACTTCCTGGGCTCGTGGCGCTCCACCATCGCTGAGAAGATCAGGGTCGGCTTCACCACCACCAACCCGAAGGGGTTCCTACTCGGCTTCTACTCGAACATTTCAGGAGAGTACTTGACTCTGATGGTCTCCAATTCCGGTGAGTGTTCGTTGGCGAGGTCCCCCCCAACCCCCCGCCCCCGCCGGCGCGTGACGCGGTGCCGTACTGTGCAGGTCACCTGCGCGTCGTGTTCGACTTCGGCTTCGAGCGGCAGGAGATCGTGTTCCAGGGGAAGCACTTCGCGCTGGGTCAGTACCACGACGTGCGGCTGGCGCGGCGGGACAGCGGCGCCACGCTCGCGCTGCAGGTGGACAGCTACGAGACGCAGGAGTACCGCTTCAACATCAAGGAGTCTGCGGACGCGCAGTTCAACAACATCCAGTACATGTACATCGGCCGCAACGAGTCCATGGGCGAGGGCTTCGTGGGCTGCGTGAGCCGCGTGGAGTTCGACGACATCTACCCGCTCAAGCTGCTCTTCCAGCAGGACCCGCCGCCCAACGTCAGGAGCCTCGGAGGTCGGTGCCGCCCACACCACGCATGCTCTCAACGCGTTATTTACTCTTTTTTTTATTGCCCTATAGGCAGACGAGCATACCCACCTGATAGTAAGTGGTTACCGTCGCTCATGGACGTCAGTCGCTGCCTACCGCTTAATACTCTCCACAAGCCTCGTTTGAAGAAGGTCATGTCATAGCGCTCGGGAAACACCGTAGAAGGGAGCTCATTCCAAAGCCGGATGGTACGTGGCAAAAAAGACCTCTAGAAATGCACTGTGGATGAAAGCAGTGTTTCTAAATAGTGTGGATGAACTCTGCTCTGGTGGTGGGAGGTGCGATAGTTATATTTGACATTTGGAGCCTTTGTCAACTTATAAAGTTCTCAGTATATCTCGCAGTCTACGACGAAAACTAATTCCCGCGCTTGCATCAGGAGGAGTTTTGCATGAGGACTTCTGCGGCGTGGAGCCCGTGACGCACCCGCCCGAGCCCGTGGAGACCCGGCCGCCGCCCGCACTCGACCTGCAGCACGAGATCAACTTCCGGAAGACGGACGAAGCCATACTCGGAAGTGTGTCTTCTGCATACATGTCTCTTCAGCTTAGTGACAAGCAGCTCTGTGCCCCGCACTACGCACGCGCGCTGGTCGCACTGTGGCTTGTGTGGGGTGATTACTAGATCCCATAGATGTCGCTAAGAGATGGACGTCTCAAATGTATTGTCTCAAACTGTTAATTTCAATAATATTCTCGAGCCGGAACGCATGGCTGCCTTGCGCTGGGAGGTCCAGCTCCCACCGTCTTTAAAGAGTTCGATTCGGTCAGTGAGGATACTCTGTCATGATAGGAGACAATACTGGTAATCCGAGAGCAATATGAAAAGAGAAATGTTCTTTATTTTATTGCTTAAATAGGACGAGGTCTTAGCCCATCTGGTGTTAAGTGGTTACTGCAGCTCATAGACATCTACAACGTAAATGCGCAACCCACCTTGAGATATAATTCTATAGTTCTATAGTTACAACGGCTGCCCCATTCTTCAAACCGAAAAGCGTCACTGCTTCACGGCAGAAATAGTCAGGATGGTAGTACCAACCCCTGTGGACTTACAAGAGGTCCTACCACCAGTAATTACGCAAATTATAATTTTGCGGGTTTCATTTTTATTACACGATATTATTCATTCACCGTGGAAGTCAATCGTGAACATTTGTTAAGTATATATTTCATTAGAAAAATTGGTACCTAGGCGGCACTGAAAATTTCGGGAATTAACGAAGTGACACAACATTACTATTTAAAAATGTATTTATTGCTTTTCGAAGTATTCTCCGCGAAATTGACACATTTTTCCATACGATGGAACCAATCATTGAAGCAACCATTTCATTTGGAAGTTGGGGTCTCCAAAATGACCGTTTTGTAGGCGTCCACTGCTTCTTCAGGTGATGAAAATCTCTGTCCACGCAATTTATTCTTTATTTTAGGGAAAGTTTAGAAATCATTAGGGCTTAGGTCGGGGCTGTACGGCGGATGGTCCAATAATTCTATGTTTTCTTGCTCTAAAAAACTTTTTTGTTCTGTGCGCGGTGTGAGAACTCGCATTGTCGTGATGGAGGATGATGCGGCGGTTGCAGTTCTCTTTACGGAGTTCAGAAACTACCTGTGGCCAACAAATGCTAGCATACCATTCTGCATTAACCGTTCTTTGTCCCTCAAGAGGAATAGTCGTAACATGGCCGGTTTTGGAGACAAACGTGGCCACCATTTTTTTTGCAACACTCCGTGAACGAACAATTTTTCTTGGCTTTAACTCATTTTCGAACACCCAAACTCGTGACTGGTTTTTTGTTTCGGGTTCGTACGCGTATATCCAGGATTCGTCACCTGATACAATGTTGTATACAGCATTTGAGGATCCTGCGTGGAATCTTTCGAGAGTTCTGACGCACCAAGTAACGCGAGCCGCTTTTTGCTCTTCACAGAGCGAATGCGGTATCCATCGGGAAAACAACTTTTTTACACCTAATTGTTCATGCAAGATTATTTGTATTTGACTCATGCCAATGTCTAAAGTTGCCTGAATTTCGCGGTATGTCACATGTCGATCTTCCTCAATCAGCTTACGCACAGCATCAACGTTTTCTTGGGTGACTGCAGTTTTTGGACGACCTTGACGGGGATCATCACTGAGCTTGACACGTCCACGTTGAAACTCAGCAAACCAGCGATAAATTGTGGTTTTGGATGGGGCTTCATCACCAAAAGCAGAAATCATCCGGTCAACACACTGTTTTTGTGTTAAACCACTTCGAAAGTCATAATAAATCATCGTTCTTGAATTTTCTCGAGTCAATTCCATTTTCTTAACGACTAAACAAGTTTGACAAAACTTCGTGACAAGACCGAGAATCTTTTTTTAAATAAATAAATGGTATTCGATTTTTAAAACCAAGGAGTTTTCAATTAAAAAGTTTTTAATATGACAGGAACAGTGGAAATATTCCATTCCCGATACTTTTAGTGCAGCCCTCGTACCCGCCTGCGGGATTCGAACACCGGTGCATCGCTTCAACACGAATGCACCGGACGTCTTATCCGTTAGGCCATGACGACTTCAAAAACTGCTCGAGCTATAATTGGGCGTTGTTGTGGACAGCGGTGCTGGGGTTCATCTTCCTGCTGCTGGTGGTGGTGGCGGTGGTGCTGGTGCGCGCGCTGTCGCGGCACAAGGGCGAGTACCTGACGCAGGAGGAGCGCGGCGCGGACGGCGCGGCCGACCCCGACGCCGCCGCGCTGGCCGCCGCCACCGGACCGCGCGTCACCAAGCGCAGGGAGTTCTTCATCTAACTCTACAGCTGCAACAAACTACACCCACACAAATCACACCAAAAGCAATTTTCTATACATTACATTGAAGAGTGAAGGGCTGTTTGGTTTAAACGACAGTTTTGTAACTTTACAGGAGAGCCATTTCAAGATTAAGATTGGAAAAAATATATAAAAAAAAGATGTCTGGTGTCGTGAGACACCGGATAGGAACGAAGTTCCTTATTATAAAAATATTAATTTTAAGTTCTATTCGAGGTATAAAGAAAATAAGACTGGAGGTTTCGCAACAACCCACGGTCATTCGGTAACGTGCGAACTTATTGTGGTACACTTCATTCACGGTTGTTTGCATAAGAGTTAGTGTATTGCGCAAACGAACGCTCTGAGATCGTGGTCAATGAATAATAAAAAATATGTTATTTTTTGTACGTTATTACAAATTTAAGTCGTACACTGTGTGCATTACTAATAAAAATCTTACGTTACGGACGTTTTTTCCCGGTTAGGGTACCCCTCCGCATCGTCCCATGAGGAATTTCGTTCCAAAAACTACTTCAGATATTTGAATCGAGTAAACTTAATTGAACTTCCTTTGTTGATGCTAATACCAAATAAAACACACCTTTAATTACAAAGATAAATGTCGTGTATTAAGTGGAATGTCGCCTAAACCAAATAGCCTTTTACAAATCGATATATGTAACCTCTAAATTGCAGACTTTTCTGGAAGTTTGGTTCGAATTTCGTTATTGAACTTATATAGAATTTAGGTTATTGATTGATTACATAAAACAATTACTGAATTTACGTGACAATTGATAATTAAATCTTAATGCAATCGTATCGATATTACCACAAAATAACAAGATAAAAACAAAATATTTGTTTTAGTAAAATAGACTGAGTAGAAACGACAGGCGTAGGCGCTGAGGACGCACGGAAATGAATCTCTTTTCTCTAACGACAACACGAATAAATAAATAAAATGTTAACTAAAAATCTCCAATCACACATTAACATTTTAAATATAAGCGGACAGACAATAATCTTCAAACTTGAAGTTATCTCATAATAATATCATAATCAAATAAATTTTAATTATACATTTATCTAACCGCTTTACGGACAAGTTTTGCATAAATTATTCTTAAAATGACATTAAGCGCACATCAGTATGTTGATTACTAATGCCGGCCACTCACATGCGCATGTGAAGGGCCGTCAGACATTCCTTCAAAGAAATTATCGGATTTTGCCATCTGTGGCAGCCGCGTCTTTCGGCGGCTCAGAGAGGGCAATGACCTCGCGTAGCACTTGCTCCTTCGTTTATCATCGTTTTAAAGTTGCCAACCTAAAAATCTCTTTTCAATTTTTAAACTCAGTTTCTTATGCAAGTTTCATAGGTCGAATAAGTACTTATAATTCGACGCTCTCGGGAACTCGCACAAAATGTAATTTTTTTACACAATTTAGTACACTTTATAAAAATCGTTTGATTGTACAACACTACTGTGAGTGCTTGGCCCCTTTAACTTTAAAATTGATTAGTGTTTTACTCGACACTATCGAACTTGTCTTCTCCCGTGTCGTGCCATTTGGCTGCTAAATATCACTTTTGTGTAATGATTTTGTAAAAACATGACATAAATAAGAACATCTTGGTTTATAATTATAATAACAAATAGTGTCTATACTCGATGTACCGATTAGTTTTAGTTTATCTGATAAAATGTATTTGAAAAAATATTTTATGAATACTCTAGAAATAGTAGATTGATTTTTATTTAGACTGCCGATTTTAGTTGTAAGATTTTTATTTTTATTTTATTTTTCCGTCCAAACCTTGTGTTATTTGAGTATATAAAAATTTTGTGTGTTTATAAATTCGATTTTATGAGTTTTTTGAAAAAGAAATTGTTTACAACTTTAATTATATTTAAATAGAAACTTCACATACATCCCGACGTTGCATTTTGTAATTTACATAACAATATTATTGACGGTAAAATTTATTTTCAACGAAATTAAATAATCGTCATAGTATATTTTTACACCATGTTTAATAAATAAAGTAACTAGGCCACGCTTTAAAATAATTTTGGCAATCCATAGTGAAGTGCTTTATAAGGGATATAAGAATTATAGATATCGATTAAATTAGAAAAGTGCACTTTCGCATTGTAATTCGTTGGGGCTCAAAGGGCAGGGCGACTGCTATCCCACTGAGCTCCGGTAACGAACACCGTATATAAATATACAACAAAAATACTAGTTCTTTAATAAAATCAATATCGATAAATAGTGGCGTCGTAAATATCGATAGTATCGTGTATTTGTACGTCGAATATAGTAGAGTGACGTGCCTTAATGGTTTATAAGGATGCGAGGCACATTAGTGTTATACATAATTAGGGTTGTTGTGCGTTTCAAAAAAACTTATTTTTAATATTATAAAACCTTGTGTCGGTAATGTAAAGGCCGTGTCGACTGCGACCTTATTTGTAAACGAATTATTGATGTCGACAAGGTATCGTTTGTTGGATAGCTTTAACCTCAGCATCGCTTGTCGTTCGGTGGACCTGCTATCCATTTGCAGCGATAGAAACAAGTAGTCGCAAGTAAGGTGCGGTCAATGTAACTGACAGTTAATGTAGATCTTTGTTACGCACAACTTATTGAATAGGTTATGATTTTAATTCGAAATATCACAAATAAATTTTCCACAGATTCATTATTGTTGTAGTTTTATTTATATTTTAATGCTAACACCGATTAAGGATGTGACGGTATGCAAACCTTTTTTTTGTATTGCTTAGGTGGTTGGACGAGCTCACGACCCACCTGGGGTTAAATGGTTACCGGAGCCCATAGACAACTACAATTTAAATGCCGCAACCCACCCATTTTGTGACATGGGTTCTAAGGTCTCAGTTCAATACAACGGCTGCCCCGCCCTTTGAATGCTTCACGGCTGAAATAGGTAGACTGTTGGTACTTACACGTGCGGACTCGCAAGACTTCATACCACCAGTAAGCAAATTACAATTTTGCGGGTTTCATTTTTATTACACGATGCTATTCCTTTACCGTGGAAGTCAATCTTATTCTTTCTTTAGGTTACGACGACTTCTTATAATTATACGACTGGTTTTTGTACTGATAATTGTTGGCGACGTTATTGGGACATCGACCTTAAGCCGTCCAAGGTGGCGGTTTCGTGATGTCTACAAGTTCCAGTAGTCAGTAAACAAGGGTCATCATGAACTGATCCAGAAATCTAATAAATAAAATTCTGTAGTTAAATAGGTACTGAACACACAACATCATGCTCTACTGTAGCTCGCTAACTGCGTGAGGTAGTCTCATCTCTAGAAAGTGGTTACTGGAGCCCATAGACATCTACAACGTAAATGCGCCACCCACCTTGAGATATAAGTTCTAAGGTCTCAGTGTAGTTACAACGGCTACCTCACCCTTCAAACCGAAACGCATTTTTGCTTCACGGCAAAAATAGGCGGGGCGGGATTCACAAGAGGTCCTACCACCAGTAATGACGAAAATAAAAGGTCCTACCACCAGTAATTGAGCGCCACCTGCCGTACGTTGATAGTACTACAACAGAAACCTCAGGAATGCCAATAAGAACTACCAACTCTCTTCTATTCAGACAAACAACAGAAAATACTCTATTCAACGCTTTAGAAAATATCATATTATTATAGATACAAAATATAAAATTATGTTTCGAAGGCAGTACGTGCAATCAACATACTGTTTCTTATCATATTCGGGCACAACCTTTAGATATAATGATTTGGCGTATATTATTGAATTCCACGCGGGTCACAAGGCTAACTGCCAACCATTTGCGACGCCCATCGGATGACTTGCATATACAATGTAAAGAGAATGTTATTTGACTGAATGAAATTAGTCTTTGGTCGATTGGATTTAAGCACGAATACTCGTGGTTTTATTGCCACAGCAGATGAGCTCCCAGACCAGCTTGTATTCTCTGAAAACCTTATTTTCGTCACGTCAATGCCGCTTTCACACATGAGTTCAAAGTCATGGAATAAGCATTGGCATAACTATCCTTTCAAATATATTGGGACAACAACGGGTAGGATCAAAGCTAATCTTTGGATATCATACATCCAACTACAAGTAGTTAATTTTCCCGATAGAGGCACCCGTCACGTGCGGACGTGCTCATTGTCCACTCGATCGCCCGGCCTTTGTTCGCCCGGCTTTTGTTAGCCCGGCCATTGTTCGCGCGGCCTGTGTTCGTGATACATCTGACGTCCAAGTGTGTTTCCTGGAAGCTTTTATTTGTTTCGTTTTAGTTATTTTTGTGTTCGTGGAACATTTGCCGACAAAGTGTTTTCCTGCAAGTATTTATTTGTTTTGTTTCTTTTTGTAATTTCTGTTTTGTGGAGCTTTTTCTTTGTCCTGTAGTAATCGCGCCGCATTGCCACCTGTGTTCAATAGAACCGCTCAGGTCCGAGAAGTTGGGACCTCGCCGCAAGGCGAGTGTTTTCAAGACCCGGGGCCGCCCCACCTGGGTACTCAGCGATCATGGACGCTGTATTCGCGGAATTCCTCCGACTTCGCCACCCACAGCTCGCCTCAGAGTTTCTGGCCTTCAAGGCCAATCACACTGCGAGCCCTCTCGAGGACTCCGCCGCGCTCGCTGCTCCTGCGTCGCCTGTACCTGCGTGNCTTTCAATCATAAAAAAAAAAAAAAAAAAAAAAAAGTTAATTTTCCAATAGGTTAATAATTACGACTTTTCTATTAATGACAAAAATAATTTGGTTTTAAGATTTGAAAACGAAGTTTCTCAGCCAGTCTTGTGTTAGGAGTTTGTAGGAATCGTCACGTAAGGAAAAAAGGCTATGCCCGTACGACTGACTCTGCTTGTATCTCTCTACTAGGTGCGTGTGCTAGTGTGTCGAGATAAGAACAGACTGGCGTTGTGTGTGGTCGTTTAAATAAAACCTCAATATTTTGTATATGTACAAGTTATAATTTTATATTTCGACTCAGCGTCCTTGATTGGTAGACTGCGGAGTTAATTCTTTGCATTTTTGCTTGGATTTTTGGATATCAAATGTATATACAGTCAAACCTGGGTAAGTGAGAACTGGATAAGTGAGAAA